ACTTTGTCAGTCTAAATGCAATCCCTTTTCAATGCACAAACTCTGCCTTTTGTTTTGGAGGGTGAACCTCAGCAAAGCCAGAGCTGCTACTTCCATTAAGTCATATTATCAGATAAGAAATACTTGTTATACCTTGTCAAAGATGGCATGGCTTTTCATTGCAAAACACCCAAAGCCAATACATGAAAATGTGTTCAAACAGTCTAGTCTGTTTGAAAAATATAATCAGTCCTGCTGTGGTAATTATCAGGATGTGGGATGAAAAAACAAACTCCCAGGAGTCCCAGCAGAAAGCAGAACAGATCAACAAGATCCTAAACTAACTCAAACAATCCTATTTAATCTCAAATGCTGTTGCACTGACCAACAGAAAAATCTTTTAAGAAGGAAAAAAAAAAAAAAAAAGAATGAAATGGCATCTTCGAACAAGAAAGGGAATCACGACAAAGGCAATGTGCAGCTGGAAATTCCCATCTACCTTGCTTCACACTGACCTCCTGTGTAGACGAACAGTGGATAAATATTAGTACTGCTGAATATTTTGGATACTGCTGTGGCCATACTAGGAAACATTCTTAACAGCTACTGCTTTCAATCTCCTCATGAAAATGCACAATGTATTCGTGTCTCTGGTCTCCTCTTTCTGTCTTGAGTTAAAACATAAGAGCAGATCCTAAACTAATGTAAACATATATCATTGCACTAAATTTAGAAAGAACAATGTTAAGTGGCACAGGGTGAGAACCTGCATAATTCCATAATTTCAAGGGAATTTCATTAAAATCTGGGACAGAAAGTTGAATTCCTCAGAATATCTGGAGGTATGCCCAATTTTGAACCTGTTTTATTGTAATAAAAATGAACATCTGGCAGATTAAAGCCATGAAGAATAAAGGGAGTAAGGTAGTATTTAACAGAACTGGAAGGAGCCAGATTTCATTTAGCCACAAAACACTCAAATCACCGTCTGAAACATGCTGCATAATCACATAATAATCATTTTATTCATTTGCCAGTAAGAGACTGGTATACTGCAAAAATGAAGAACTGCTGTTGAAGCACTATTTCCCTGCCTCTCAGCAGATATTTACAATTGCTACTCATTTGGCATCCCACATTCACCTGGCTCTATTTTTGCATGCCTGAATGAATATTCCAGGTTATAGGAAAGGACTGGCCAATTGTAGATGTGGAAATAAAATACCTAGAATGGGTCAGAATTCACAGAATGCAAAACAAAATGGAACTTCCTTACACCTTCATTAGCCAAGAGCCAAACCGAGTAGGTCATTTTACACAGCTAAAAGGGAAAGCTGAGAACTGGCTTACACCACCCCCACATTCTTGTTATGTTAGGCTTTATCCAATGTATTGGCACAGCTGATTTTTGCCCATTAGCTTGAAACATCTTCACCAGACTACTGCAATCCATTTTGCTCTATTTTCACTTCTCCCAGGATGGCTGCAGGAGAGACTTTTACATGAACTTTCATCAAAGTCAAGCGAAAACATTCTGGGCTAAAAGTTGCTCGGGTAAATCTGGGCCTTTGGAAATTACCTTCTACTAAGAACTGACTTTATTTCTATAGTCCTTTCTCTGTTGCTCCCCAGTCTATTAATATTTTTTATACTCCTGGGAGCAGAAACTGAACTTCCCCACCCTTGCTGTGAAATTCTGACTATATCTTCAGTTACTTCTTAAGTGAAATGGAAGAAACAGAACAAACTACATATATATCTACACATACATATTATACATATATAATGTATACAGTTTTTCACAACGTGGTGATCCAACAAGGACACCAGGGAACATAAAACATGAACTGCAACTGAAATACATCGATTGTGATGCCTCAAGGTGGGAAACACTCATTCAGCTGTGAGACTGCAGGAACAAAAGTGGTATTTCTGGAAAAAATACACACAAACATTTGGGGAAGTGGGGGAGGAGGAAAAACAGAACTTCAGAGAAAGCCCCCCTTTTTTGTGACCGTAACAGTGCTATTTTTGTTAACCTCAAAATGGAAATAGCTCCATAATAGCCATACCACAAATACTGTCATCACCCTCTGCCTCCTCAGATCTCACCTCTGTCAGAGCCAAAAGGAACAAGTGTCTGTGCTGTCCACAGAGTCATTTCTCCTGCTGCCAGGAACTGCAGTTGTGGAGGTGCTTTTGCAATGCTGACACTTATTCCTTTCCACTAGAGCTCAGCACTGAGATCACCAACTAATTTCACAGTCTCCTCAGAACTTCACCTGAAGGCACCATCTCTGTCCTTGAAAGAGACTTTCATAACTTCCTAGCAATGCTGTCACTAGGAACAGAAATACTTCCATCTGAGCTAGAGATCACGGATCTGCCAGCTCACGCTGGACTCTGGCTGAATTCCACTGAATATGAAATGGCCCTGCAAAATAGTGCAAGACCTGGGAAGCAGGAATGGCGACTGAGAACAGTTAAATCTGAGACCACATGTAGAAACGAGGAGCATACTGGCCCACAGATTTGGCCCTGTATGTACAATGGATTGAGGCCATAAATACTGAAACAAACAAACAAGCCTGGATGGCTTCTGTCTGTCCCTATCACGCCCAGAACAAAGAAACCTCACCAAAAGATTTAAAGGGCCCATCAGTAGTAGAAAGTGTATTTTACAATAAATGGTTTTTCATTTGACACACCATCACAATTACATGCATAAATGCTGGATTTTTACAGTATCCTGCATGTTATCTCACTATTACAGAATAAAAGATAAAAAATAGTTTAACTTAAGCTTACACAGAATTGTTTATCCACGGCTAACAATTTCCTGTTTCTTCTACAGACGAAAACATTTCAGAGATAATGCAGGCATTGGTATGTATCTAAACCAAACAGTTTCTCAATATAGCGCATCTCAATATAGCACCATGAATGGGTACAGATCTGCAATAAAAGCAAAGCAGCTTCAGTTGGCTTCACCTTACTTGGCCTGGGTGTGGAACGCATATCCGAGGAAGCAGAGCAAAAAGCATTGGAAGAAAAAGGAGAATTTCAGTGTTAACTGAAGGAACAGCAGTGAAGGATAATTAGAAATGTCTCTAGAATTTCTCGAACCATGAGGGTGTGATTATGTCAATGTTACAATTAGTTTGGCAGGATGCTACGAATAAAATACAGAGCCGCTAGATCATTCCATAAACGAGTATAAGGATCATAAATCTGAGTAACAAAAGTACCCCTACAGACACACACTTCTAACTCTAAAGCCCCTTTCAAAGTGGCACCTACTACGACTATCTTCTCCTAAAAAGTATTTTGTAAATCAGCTATATGATCAGAAGTATAAAAGTTTGTATTTGCAGTGAAACTCTTTCTAGCATAATGGCATATTTCCTTCTAATGAAATGTCAGAGAACTGGCCTTCATTAGCAGTACTCTTAAACCAGATTAATTTCACTGTACAAGCTTGTGTTTAAAACAAAAAAAACACCCCCCAGCCACTATAATTTCATGTTGTTCTTTTTGCCCAGTCCTATAACAGTTGTTCTGAGTAGAACTTTTAAGAACCTTCTTCTATTCTAGCTACTTCTTAATTTCCTACTGTTTAAGCCTTTTTACTTTCCCTAAAAAATAATTTGAAAAATATAATTGGAAAGCTTGGGAGCAATATAGCAATGTTTCTGAAAGAGAGAGGCTCTAACAAATGAACTGTTAACATTTGCACAATTATCTGAGGAGGGCAAGGCTAAATTATTTCTCTATGCTTCCCACATTAAACTGAAACAGATGTAGATGGAAGAAAGAGAAGTACACGACAGATGAAGACAGGCTCACAGCCAGAGGTAGGTCTGCCAAGAGTGACAAAGGAGGCAGAGGGAAAGATGGAAACTTGCAGGACTGTAGCTGTTTTGGAGAACTTAAGATGGCCGGGAGTCCTGCCTCATCGCTCCTCCCTTATCGGTCCATTCCTGGGTATTAATATGCTGCACCACTTTGCTGTGCAGAGATGTCCAAATGAGTCGTTAAATACATCATGTAAGTCCCAGCAGAAGTGTGGATGTTTGCTAAGAAGAAACCTTGCTCTGAAAACTTTATATTATGAAAAGACAAGCTAGGTAAAGGAGAGGCACACAGAAAAGAAATTACTTGTTGAAGGTTACATGAAGACCTCCAACTTTCCAACTATACTCACTGACAAGATGGACTTTATGTTCCTGGTCCTGCATAACGTACTGGAACACTGCTAGTCTTAGTGAAAGGGGAAAGACGTTTTCTTTCACAGAGGATGGCATGTCTGTCTCTTTAAAACATTTCCTGCCTCTCCAGCTCTCCCTTATTCAGGAACAGCTGCTCATGAACTCTCTCACAGACCCAGAGCAGCAGGAGAATGAACCAGAATGAAGTGCTGCAGTTTGTACCGCTACACCAAACCTTGGCAACCTATTCCATTGAGAAACGGAATTATGAGCAGAATGTGTGAGAATGAATTCCGCAGAAGAAACTGAAAAATTAAGTAACAGTAGCCCAGTATGAGCAGTTAGTAGCCCAGTATGAACAGTTACGTTGTTCTTTCTCCATCGGTGAAGGAAAACGTTACCAACTCTTAATCACTAATGTAGACAAAGGTGTTCTTACTCAGCTACTAACTACTGAAAACTTACTAACTTGAAGGACAGATTTAGTAAGCAGTGGAAATGCTGGGTAACAGAAATGGTATCTGCCCAGATCTGAAAAAAGCACCACCAGTTAGATGCAGCAGTTAAAAGCCCTCTCATGTAACTCTGATTGTAATTCTTCTCTGCCTGCAGTTATGAAGTCTGCTGTTACACTTTAAAATACCCTTTTTAAACACCAAAAAAGGAATTACACAACCTAGAGAGACAGAACGTCTAAAATTATAAAGCCAGCAATAATCAGAAACACTTAGAATTCCAAAAACGGGAACCATATATTCAAAGTGGTAAAACACAAAACATAACTTGGAAAAAATGACAGAACTGAGTAAAAACCAGAACTCTTGCTTCTTTATTTCACCAGTTAACAGTACAATTTTGCTAATATATCTCAAAGCAACTTCTGAACAGGAGTGGAAGAAATCAAAGGCACTTGATTCTTTCTTACAGAAGGAAAAAATATTAACTGGGAGTATGCCATAGGAAATTGGTTAATTGTACTTTATTAAGTGACTCTAACCAGATGTTACACACCAGCTCATTAACCAGACAATGATTTAATGGCTTTACTCAGCTGTAATTATAGAACAGAGATTAACAAAACTGCACTTAACACAGGTAGCTCCTCATTTAAATTAGTTTCACATGCCATTAAAGCTACTCAGCTTTTTGGCAAACTGCAGTTTTATAGATTGGTATATTATTTGCAATTATTGCTAATTGCTATGAGCAATGATTGCAATATCTCTGGAACACATCTGTTGCTGACACTATTTAAGTGTGACAATTTCATGGCTAACAACTCTGTACTTTCTATTTAAGTACCATTACCCATAAGTGTCCGATAAAAGTCTTCTAGCTTTATACTTGGAAATACAATAGGCACTTTATCTGATATAAGGGCTGATCTGTATTTTCTCTCATAATGGGCCAGTTTATGTGTCCTAAGGTATTTAAAGCAGCAGTTGATCCTCAGACAGTCTCAACTGTATCAGGGGATTATTCATGTAATAGAAGTCCAATACAGACACTCATTATCAGGCGTTCATGTGGCTGGAATAGCTGAAAGCCTATGGCCAACACACAGGATGCATGCTAATGTCTCTGACACAAACCTGTTTGTGGGGGAAGGTTCTCCTTTACATACCACACCATCTGGAAACAAGGGGAGACAATAAACATCTCACTTCCAATAACAAACACATTTCAACTGCCCATGCTATAGTACATATGTGCCACGCAGATACGTCCATACCCAACAGATGCTGGCTTTGGTAAGAAGAGTGCATTTTCTCTATGCTGACTTCAGGGGATAACACATCAGAGAAGAGAGACATTTTCAGTCTCCAGGAATGATGATGTAATCCCTGTTTGTGCCATGTCCATTGTAGCAGATAAATGTACAGCCTCGCAGGCTAAAGCAGCAGGCGTGGAGTGCACTGTGTTGTGGAGATAAGAGCTGGAGAAAGAGAAAAAATTCCAATTAAAAAAAAATACTGAAAAACCAGTCAAGACTCAAGCATGGAACTGACAGAGAACTTGCATCACTCATATTGATGGGATAAATGACAGAGTTTCTAAAGTTTTTTGAAGACCTAAGGTACTGGTATAAATTCTGAACATTACAGCCGGCGCGAGATGGGTAGGAAGCATTCCCATAGGGTCTGATGACTACCTGACCTACATTAACCTTGGCATCAACAACACTCATGCCCAATGCCGATCTTCAGAAAGCTGAAGTTTTCGTACTGTCCTTATACATCTGAATGGGCATCACATATAAAAGGAAGCAAAGGATTAGGAGGAATGAAGTAAAGTGAATGTGTGACAGGGCACCTTAATAATAAAAACTATGGGCTATTGCATTTTTAAATGAAAAAAAATAGTATCCAAGGACATCAGCAGTCAGGCTGTGCACTTTGTGAATCCAGCGTCAGACTTTCATTCACTGAGGAACAGTTAAAACTGCTGTCAGCAACCATGCTAGCGGGAATTCACAGTCTGTCCCACTGTGGTTGATATAATCCCTGAGGCAGCAGACACGTGGCAAGCTGGTGAGCGCTTGAATACAGTGGTTCTTTGTGACAGAAGCTGCAGAAAAGGAAAGCTTACAGGGACCCCATGAAAGAATCCAAGACCATTCACCTGACACCATAGCAAAATCAGCTGTAGCTGTGTCATTCCTGACAAACGTTTGTTTAACTTGCTCTTGCAGACCACCCAGAAGCCATGGTTTCACAGCATTCGCAGCAATCTGTTCCCATGCCTCTCTCTCCTACTGTTCAGAAGCACACGGGTATACTGCCCATGGATGGTACATGTACTGTGGGCACTATGGACAGGAGGAAGTTGGTCTTCCTATAATGACTTTTTGTATATTTGTATATCATGCTTCTTGGCAGTCTCTTCTCTGCCAGGATAAGCAACCTACTAGTAGATTACCCTACTCGCAGTTGGATCAGATAGATCTCATGTCTGACTTGTCGAGTTCCTCTGGCTCTTTCTCCTGATGGGCAACATCCTTCTTGGAGTACAGTGCCTAAAACAGGACCATGACTTTACAACCGGACAGGGCAGAAGGCTGACTTCACACATTTTTTAAAATCACATTCTTACTCAGAAATGCATTAAACTGATGCTTATTTAAAACTAAAAGAGTATTTGTAATTTATGAACATTACAGCTACTTCTAGTGAGCACTGTGAAGGGTCTTCTCGCAAATGACATCTGGGTCATTTCTTCTCTGCCTCCTACTGGGATGGGGCAGCTTTAATTTCTGCCAAGGATTCTGTCTGATGTTCTCTAAAACAGGAGAACAGATTCAAGAATTTCTCTGTAGATGGGATCAAGGGCCTAAAAGATACTTGTTTAATTATTGAGTCCTGGCCCCCAACATTACATCACATTACAGCATGACCCCTGTCAAAAGTACTCAATGTACTCAGCTCCCTAAGGATGTCACCTGGGTTTTTTTTGCTCTCACTCCTTTTAAAAGAAGACTGAAATGGAAGTTCAGGACCTAATCTTCTCTACACTCATTCACAACTGGTTCAATACTCATACATGATTCTTCCAGTACTGTCTATTATCTTAAATAGCTCTCCTATCACTGTGATGCTAATTGATTTGACACAGTTTTAAAAAGTATTTATATCCCTCTGCCACATTTTCGCCAGAGAAACTGAAATAACTGAGGAGCCTTTCACACCATGACAGCCCAGGGATGCCCTTCCTCCTGCAATAAGCCCTCTGCCAGGAGTGCTAGTTTAGACACCAAGACAGTTATAGTCCCTTCTGCCTCAAATGTCAAAGCTGACTCTGACAAGGTTTTTCAAAAAACCAAAAACAATCAAGACTGCAAGCTTGTTTACCACTGCATCCTATTGCCAAGGTAATCCTGAGACACCCTTTCTTTAGCTACTTAAAGAAATCACCGTGGAACCCTTATGTTGGAATTTAGATTGTAAGAACTGATTTAAAATTTAGACAGCTACAAATAATCCAAATAATCCTACTTTCTCCAGTCCTGTATAAGACTGGCTCCTTCTATTTCTGAATGTCAAATAAGCAGCTTAACCAATTAATGCTCTATACTTCACAGCCCCCAAGCTGGAGGCTTCTGACCTTTCAAGGGACGTAAGTCAGAATACTATTCTTAGAGATAAACATATTAAAACAGCAACAAAGATGTACTTTTTAGTCAAGAGATTTTACACACACATAGACATTCACAATTACTTAAAGGCACATATTTGTTTTACCTTTGAAAGGAAGACAGTTATAAAGTTACTGCCCCTGCATGAAGGATCATGAAACAGAAAGAAATCAGTTTCTTAAAAATTGCTAACATGTTTTTATTGTGGCCTTTAGCTAAAGATCAGCCGCTACTGAAATACAATCCTTTTAGGCCTTCTGAATAAAGTTGGGAAGACTAGAAATTGGCTCCTTACATAAGAAAAGTACATCAACATTTCTGCTGGTATGACTTCACTTTTGGAGTAGCACAGCATATAAAGCTCATTTATTTAGTTACCATTAAAACAAAACACCTCTGAACTAAATTCTTGGTGCTACTCACTGTCCGAATCTTTCCTTTATTAAGATGAGGCCCATACTTTTCAGATGTTCTGCCAGTGATTGCAAAGATATAGAGGGCACCAGGTCAAGCAATGGACAGCATTAGTGGCATTCAGCATTGCCTTGCTGAAGGAACTCTTGATAATAGTTTCTAACCACCCAAGAGACCTAAACCAAGCAGGTTGTCAAGAAAAACTACCTGAAAAGAAAAACTTGTAAGCCTTGTGCAGGAGGACTACAAAACCGGAGTTAATAACAATACATACCGTGCTGCTGAGAATGACAGGAACAGTATAAGGCAGACAGCAGCAACTGACCCAAATCCAACAGCAGTCATATATTGCAGAGTGGGTGATAAATCTGAAAGAAAATATCAAACAATTCAAATGAACAAATATAAAAAATAGCATAGCTTCTGTCTGGTGACTGAACTGAGTCTGCCCAAAGCTAAAGCACTATAACAAAACTCAGGTGCTGCTCAGTCGAGTAGTAATGGAGCTGACTATCTAGTAGTTAGCGTCCAGTTGAGGAAGTAAGATTAAATGGTGTATTTCTCAAAAGTGATTATACTTCTCCATCCCTCAGTTTCCTGCCTTTTTCTTTTTTTTTTTTTTAAATTCAGATACTCAATATCAACATTTTCCCCTCTCATCACTGGCAATTTCAGTCTAAATTGTATGCCAAGGTGGTCTCTGGTGCCAGAAAATCCTAGTGCTTTATTAAATAGCCCAACATATCTCCTTCAAAATTTTTAAGATCTGGGCATGATTTGTTTTCCCCATTCTTCCCCCTCCCCCTTCCCTCCCCCCCAAGTTACAGAATAGAAATAAACCTGGCAATGACAGCCTTAGCCAAGCCCATAATACCAGAAGCCACACAGGGACAGAACAGAAGGCTTAGTAATTTGCTGTCAAAACCAGAATTACTAAGAACTACTGGTGAAGGTAACCTGAGAAAACAGAAATTAAACCCCTTCCAGCCACCTCTATCCCATTTTCAGCATTAGTCAAAGGTTACCTATTTCTTACTGGATTTCCCACAGACATCTAGGATACTGGATCTTATTCCTGCAAGATTCCACAGCTCTACTTGCTGTTAAATCTTGCAAGCATGAGTATTTAATGTTTAGCAAAAATACAAATCCTTGCAAAAATGGCACTTATTCCGTGAAATTACCGTATATGCCCACGATGAGAATCCAAGTGCCTGAATGTCAGAAAAGCAACTTCTGTTACTTGAATTTAACTCTTTTTTGGCTCATCTGAATGTACAGGCACAAAACTGGCTGAGCATTCACCCGAAACACCCTCAACAATTGATGTGAAGCACAAAAAAATCATACAGAGTCATAAGGAGAACCTGACCAGTTTATCATCTTTGCCTAACACTGCTCAGTGAAGCAAGGCTTGTATCCGTGCAGCACTGCTCACCTGTAAACTTACTGTGAGTCTGACAAAGTAAAGAATTTCAGACAGGGACCCTACAAGGAAAATCTGTTCAACCTACAAGCATGTTCAGTTTTGGTAAAAGTTATACCTGTCCTTGTATCAGTGTAACACCAGTTTCCATAAGCAAGTTATGCACCTCTAGAGCAGATGTCAGCCCTCCATAAAAATGACAGAACTGTCTTCCCTACACACTGTAGAGTATATCTGGTGAAAAACCCTCAAAATTCATTTTACTTATTTGTGACAGAAGGAAGCGTGCTTTTAACAGCTTTATACCACTTTTTATGACAATGATTTATCATACAATGTGTAGCTTTGTCTAGACGGCATCTGAAACAGGCCCATTTGGTTTAGATTTAATTTACAGATTTGCCTTCCACACAAGTTGAATTAAGAAATACTCCTCAAAGGATTCAGTGAGCCAAAAATACTCTCAGCTTCTCCAGCTGCAGAAGTACATTAGGCCAAGGACGCTGTGTGGCTAGAAGTCCATTCAATAGAAAGGCAAATGGATTTACAACAGAAAGCCAAAGGCCTCACCTGTCCTACTCCCATCTTCCAATGCCCATTCTCTTCATCCCAAAACCAAAATCCACCCATACGTAAGACAGCCTCTGACGATGCTCTATAAGCTGATAAATGACAAATTCAGAAAAGGACAGTTTTCTGTCTTTCCAGAGTTATTTTACAGCTCCTGCCTATACAGCTTTAGCAATAGAGCCCTCAAACCTAGGGAATCCTTCATCTTAGCCAAGTCTCTACAACCACAAACTGCCTAAATTATATTCTAAGTATGGTGGTAAATGAACTAGGTCACGGGAGTAAACAACAAAAGGCAACCTAGAAATAAACACACAGTTGTCACCAGAAGATCAGTAATAGCAATAGTCAGACCCAGGTTTTGTGAACAGTGGAGGAGATGCACCTCAAGCACTCCAAGCACCACATGATTTATTATAATTCCAAAGTATTGTCTCACTCTCCAGTGTCACTGCATTTCCTAACTCCAGTTTGTGAGTCTTTCAACCCAAAAGCAGAATTTAGAGTTTGTAGGGGACTCCAGTGGTGCCACTTTCTTTGTCAGGACAGGTAAATATTTGCTTTTTGCTGAAACGTGATGAAATGGGTGAAGAGAGTACTTTCCACCATGGTGGAAAGGAGGGAAACTTGATCTCTAGTGGATTCCAAACTCCTCCGAGGTAAACTCATTCACTGGAAACAATTTATAGTCAAAAAGAAAAACAAAGATAAAACCATGCTGAGAAATTCACTGGCTTCTAAAGTTATGCCATTATACTTTTAAGAAACTGTACTTACAAGCACAAAAATGAGCCATATTTTTCATTTTTGCATGGTGTCTTTTATTTTCCTAAGTTCATAAAAAGGACTCAATTCTCCAAGGACTACCTGAACGTACCAAAATAAATAATGTGGCTTCTAAAAGCCAGAAAATGTTTTGTTTTGTTTTTAAATATCTTTAAGCCAATACAGAACTATCTTAAAACAGGCTTCTAAAATTTTGCATCTTCTGTGCTTCAAATCCTTTGTGCACAAAAATTGTTGTAAAGATTTGGATGTGATGTATAAAAAGAGTAATACTGAAAAGCAAGGAGAAACTAGATAATCCATTTTAGAATAGCTTACTGTATCCATCAGAATGGAGTACCAAAGTGCAAGGCAAATATGCCTCTAACCTTTCCAATCCTCAAAGTCAACTGACCATTAATGGCAAACAAAGAAATAGCCACAGCAATTATTAGTTTATACTGCCAAGCAAAGCCATGACAACTTGTGTTTTCTCATTGAAGGGAAAATTGACTTACTTTTAATTTGTGCCCAAACAGCACACGACTGTGTTCTCACCTGAAAATGAAAACATAAAAATCACTGTTTCTCATGAGAGAAATTTATTATCGCTAACACTCTCTGCAAGAGCAGCCATCCACAACTTACTATATTTTATTACTATTGGGAATGGAGTTTGTTACTCCCCTGGTAGCAGCCTCTAGCTTGTCTGAAAAGATTATAAAGATAAGATTACAGATAGAGCTTTGATGAAAGCCTGCTTCTAGTCTTTTAGATCATCACTCTTCCTTTCTTTCTACAACCTAGACACGCAAGTAACATGGAAGGATCTTTGAAGCTGCTTGGATAAGAATTCAGAATTTATGAAATGCTAAGATAAGGCTGAATATGCTGTATTAACTCTATCCCCATGTAGAATATATATGTTAAAATATGGTACTTAATGGCATGTTTTTCAAATATTAGATGCAGGATTTCCTCCAGTTATGACAACTTGCTTGGTAATTTTTAACAATTTTTATAGAATAATTAATGTTCACAGTAGTTGAATAAATGTTTATCAGGGGTCTGCTTTTGCAGACTTGATTAACAAGTTTGTTTTTTTTACGGTAAGTTTTGGTCCCTGTAGAGCTTTTTTTCCCCCAGCACTTCACACTCATACATACACAAGAAGTTCTATTCTAAGTTCTATTGTCTATTGTATAATTACTGTGAAGTCTATTTTTGTAGTGCTTCTATAAGTACTTTCCTGCTAAATGACTTTCACAGAATACATACACATATATTTCTCACGTTTTGGCAAAATGTGTATTATGTTGCTCTGGATAACAGTATGTTTCTATGAAATTGAAGGCTACATTTTGAAGCATTTGCACAAAAGGACAAAGGCACATTTGTATGCCTCATCTTACTTTTGTGTGTCTGCATGCTGAATTGTGGAATCTCAGTGTTTCTTAAACTCATTTTTTATACGGAATTTTCTGATTATTTAAAAAGACAAAACACTGACAAAGAAAATACTCTTAGGTGAGGGAGAATAAAGAACAAGGGGTGGATTTAAAAACTCAACCACATGCCAGATTCTGGAGGCACTGGTGTGAGTGCCATCATCTTGAAATAGCTACCTCTGTGACATACTCTAGTTTGCAGGAAATCAATCATCTCCTGCCTATCAGAGAAGTTACAGAGCTCTCAGGAATCTCAGCAGCGAAGTTCACTGATCTGCACCTTATACTACATCAAATTATAAATCCCTTCCTCTGGTGAATTAGCACCTTTCCAGAAAGTTATCAGTGAAATTATTCCTCCAAATACTTGAGTATCCATGGATCTCAAAGTCCGTATTTCAACCTGGATATTCACAGGTAGCTAAACTGGAGCTAGAAACCCCTTCCACAGCTACACACTTAAGGAGAGTTCTGGAGGAAAGAGAAAACATTTTGCCAGGCATATACACTTTTCTCAGATGATTTTATTAGGTTAATTTTAACAGACTTTTCTCACAGTAGGGGTCAGTTTGATTCCAGAAAGGCTCATAGCTTTTTTCCTGAAAAGACTGCATGTTATCTTCACCTTTCACAGTCCTCCTTTTACTTGTTACATGCACAAACTGTTTGATCCAAAAACGCTGATGCTGATACTGAACAAAAGCTATGCTAAAGAAATTAATCTCAAATAAGTTTAAACTCCAAACGCGTTTTTTAGTTCTTGCCCTTCACTATGAGCCTTGGCTCTCTGCACAGCATGGAATCCATAAAGTAATCATTGGAGATTAAAATAGGTACCAGATGGGTTTCAGTTATTTAATTAGCAGTATCCCTCATGGAAAAGGACACTTCCAAGGGTGGACAATTTGTTCCACTTAAGTAAGGTTTTCATGATATGACAGTAAATTTTCATTTGTTCCCAAATCCTCCCTTGGTGTCCATCATACCTATATTCCAATTGCCAAATTCATCAATATGAAAAATGGTAATTTCTATTATCTCAGACTTCCTAACTGCTTTCCTTGTACAACCCTAACAATCTCCTCAGATCGTCTGACCAGTCTTTTAACACCTCTGAATGTCCTGCACAAATGAAATACGTGTTTTAAATCCTCCACCTTGAAAAATAATCAGAAAGTAAAAACCGCACAGCAGACACCTTTCTCAGGACCTCCAAATCTGAGCAAGGGATAAATGAACGTGGACTCAATAAAACAGAACAGCTTACTTCTCTTAACTGTGTCCACACAGTTTTATCTGAACTGATTTTCCCACCCTTACCACAAAGAAAATATGTCAGGTATATTGAGGAATAGTGGCAATAAAAAGTCACAACCAAGCCATGATTTTGGAACATGTATGATACAAATTGTACCATTTCAGCATGATTTTCCCACCCTTACCACAAAGAAAATATGTCAGGTATATTGAGGAATAGTGGCAATAAAAAGTCACAACCAAGCCATGATTTTGGAACATGTATGATACAAATTGTACCATTCTCAGCATGAAGGGGTCTAGAGCCAGAAGGGGCTCTGGAGGATGCCAGAACATAAAAGTACAATAATGAGAACATTAGTTAGGAGTCTATGACATGTATTTCTAATGTGTCTATATTCAAATGGAAATGTGTTCACAAGTAAATACACTACAGAAATGCTGATTTCACATGTATTAATAATTGGGGGCCAATTAAAGAACAGATTTTTTAAAAAGCAGACTTTTAAATACTAACTCTTGAATCCAAATTCAGTCACTGAAGTAATCAGATTTTCAGAAATTCTCAAAACCCAACAACCCTCAATTTATAATTCCAAATTTCTTTAACTTCTTAATACCAACAATTGCACAAAATACAAGGGCATGAGAATTGAAGATAAACCGATACTTTTGAGCCACAGGTCTAAGTTCCATTTCAAAGAAGCAGAGCTGGGAACCAAAGCTGTTTGGTATTTGCAGTCCTAATAATAATTTATAAGTGTTGTATGTAAGTTGGTGTACTTCATCAAGTAACAAAAGCCATACAGGAAAGTGTATACTAAGGAGATGATGCATTCTAAATTGAAGGAAGCGAAGAGCGACTTCTACAAATAACAGTAATAATATTCCATTAAATCAGTGGCCTAGAAAAGACATCTGGCAATGCTAGAGATGAAACATCAGGAAATAATCTATATGAAAGAAAAAGAATAATGCAACTTTGAAGCAGTTTAACAAACAGCTGGCAGAGATGCATAAGCAATCTGCACTGTTCTGTGCAAGAAAAGCCTCAACACAAGTTGGAACAATAGGAAATGTTCCCCAGTATCAGAAAATATTGAAGGGAAAGAGCTAGGGAAACCAATGCATAAAACCCAAGGATACATAAACTTGAGTTCAAGGATGTATTTAGGAGTGCTTAAAGAGGATAAACTTGTATACGTCTGACTCATTAACAAGCCTGCTCCACAGAGTAAATTTTTCTAAAACATACAGTTCGTTGTCCAAATTCCAGGGTATTTTGGGCTAACTTAACATTATTCATGAACTGAATGCCTTCAAATGTAATTTCCGTATTTATTCCCTCATACAATTAATTAAAAATTTATGACAAACAACAGACTTGTATCAGGATCAGAAACCACTTTATCTGTGCTATAAAAACTCCTTAGACTATTGTTAAAGTAGATGCCACACAAAACATGTGCTGCACAGACTAGTAGATACCAGTAACTGGTATTACATGTACTTGTTTTATTTCACTCACTTTGGACTGCGACAGTTACATTTCTTAATAGAAGCTGGCTTAACTCACTGAGATTTGGGTGTAGGCTTCCAAAATTGTAGAGAATTATTTACAAGTGACTCACAGATCAGTTTTTGTGTGCCTCCTTGCTTCGTGCTGTATACACAAAGCCCTAAAACTCTATTTTAATAGAGTCTATTCTTTTGAGTGGCAGGGTGAGGCACTGTTTAGGTGTTTTTTTCTTTAGTAGGGGTTGCTTTGTTCTGTTTTTACATTTGACATTCAGGAACTGTATGCACATGAAAAGTCTATCACCTGGCCCATATGAGAAAAGCTTCCTACTGCTGAGATTTATATTACAAAAAGATTACAAGCTGTTGACCCCGAGACAGATAACGACTGGAAAACTAGTGGCATAATGACATCATGGGAGGCAAGACGGAGCATGAAACAGCTGAGATGTACATTTTAGAAACTTTTTGTTTCTAATTAAAATATATACTTATTTTAAAATGACAAAAAATTAATGCTAGTAATGTACTTTTTTCCACAACGCTTTCCCAAGGGAGCTGGAGTTGACATTCATTGCTACGTGGAAGGTAACACACATGATAAAATATGTTTTGCCTTGTCATTTGGAGAACTGTAATATTTTTGCCATAAAACATTCAATTAGAAATTAAAATGGGTGAATATTTCATTGCTAAGGAGTAATTTTCAGATTCTTATACTAATCTCTTTCACTAAATTCTGGCCCAATAAAGACACCCTCAATTACTGAGGGCAGCAATGGCCTTCATTTTTAGGTTTTTCCATTGTTTGCCTTTGGCATCCAGAGTTGCTCCAACATTACAATGACATAAATATCTGTAAGGAATTACAAGAGTTATTCAAAGAGCTTCAGATTTAATCTAATTCTGTCAACTAACAGATCCTTGCAACATCATAAAAAATTTAACACAAAGCTAACATTTTCCTCTTTTTTTCCCCAGCAACATGTCATTCAACAGGTGTAAAGAAAAGGTTTTAAAATATCCATTACCTTATTCCACTCACTTATTATTCTCAAAAAAACACAATACTCTTCTACCAGTTTTAAAGGAGCATTATAAAACTTTCCGTAGTAATGTCTGTCTCCAAGAGCAATTGACATATTATCAGCAACATCCTTCGCCCGAAATTCAGCTGCCACATATCCTTTAACGTCAGTGGTGTTACTAAAGAAAGCTGCAGCAGCAAAGGAGTCACAAATAAAAGTGCTTTGCAAACCCAGCGGAAGCACAATCACTTGATAAAGACTAGAGTGAAACAAAAAAAAGTAAACATTAGCCCTCACTTCAATGTACTAAGAGTCAGACATTCATTAATTCACATTGTCTTTTCTATTTGTAGCCTCTTAACTGCTTTTTATTATCAATGTCCAATACGAACGCTTCTTATACTAAAATATTTCTCTCTGTGTGTGATCCATTGCGTTTTGAACCAAAAGCACTGCATGCACAACTTAGAGCTGGTTCTTCTCATCACATGCACATTAACTTTACATGTTTATTCTTGTTCAGAAGAGCATCAAACTGAGTTACTGCAGGCTCTCTCTTGCTCCTCTCATTTAACACATAAGTTCACCATGAAACAACACATCATTGGCCTCTTAAAATGATACATAATTTCCCAGAAACAAGACTTTTTCTGTTTAAAGAAGGAGAGGACAGATACCATTTGTAAAAAATTAATCAAAACTGTTTTCAGATCTCTCAAAACAATGTTTATTCTATGGTATCCAACCATAGGAAGACTAATTATTAGGGCTGCTACAGTAGTCATTTCCTGAAACATTATTAGCTTTCAAATATTTTCTGCTTTAGCGTAACGTTGAGTTACAACTACTTTTTCCTTTCATCACAAACAGCACTTAGTAAGGTGTAAATCCTTCTTCTCTAGAAATATATTTTGGTAGTAATACACTAATATGAACACACTACTTCAGAATATGTATAAATACAGACATTGTTCACCATTTCCTCTGGCTCCTGGGGCCGGGGGGGGGGGGAATGTACTGGCTGCATGAGTGTGTTGGAAAACAAAAATGACACAGGTAGAGCTGTGAGCTGTGCTTGGATCCATCAGTAAAAATCTACTGTGTCTTCCCTGTGGATAAAGGAAAAAAAAAAAAAAACCACACACAAAACCAACAGTGAAAACTCAGAATTATCAAAAACAGAACTTTGTTCCAGAAAGCAGGGAAGAGTCTGAAGCCAAATATTACTCTGCTAAGGGAGGAGAAACAAGCAGTTACAGCTTAAGTTTTCTCTCATGGCTAACAAAAATAATCTAACCACCACAAAAAGTTCGAATATGTAAGTAACATAAATCTGCAGAATGTTTTTTGAAAGGGTGAGGAGTGCACAGAGACAAACCTGATCGGTCCATTTCGATCTTCTGCTTTCCGGAGTCTGAGCAAGGGTGCAGAACCTTTTACTGCAACGAATTCTACATCTGGGAAAGGGGGATCTAAAAAGTAAACAAATACCAGTGCTTCAGAGAGGTTTTAGAAATATTTCAGGCATGAGGGTTCCTACCTATTTTTCCCCCAAAATTTCCTCTATTAACTGGGCCTCAAACCCCTGAAGGCTAAAGTCTGCAGGCAACATAAATAGTCTGGTCAAGAAAAACACAGAGCAAATATGAGCATGATGACATGGCAGCCCCAACTCAAACCCCTGTATTGAAGTATATCTGCTAGCTGGGAAAAAGAGAGATGCCCAAAAATGATGGTAGACTAGAGAGAAATGAGACAGGAAAGATTTGTTGGAAGAAGCAGTATTATTTATTAGACTAACTAAAATGGTCAAGGAGAAGAAAAAGATGAAACTCCGTGCACACAGCCCGCTACAAAAAATAAAACAGTATGAGTAAATGAGAATCTATTAGCTCCAAAAGCACTTTCAAGAAGGCAACTTCCTTAGTTACTGCCCACAGTCAGCTAGCAATATCCAGCCCCTTAAAATTGGATTTCAATATGGATACAGAGCTCTAATTTGTTTTAGTGGGAATTTGCATCCAGGCCAAAACTGAACAAATACTTCTGCCTCTAATTTCAATGGCAATGATGACAGCTGCACACTGACAGAGACTGGTGCTATGATAATGGAAATTACCACTATCAGCCTGGAAGCAAAAATGAAAAGAGCTTCAGTGTACACAACTGAGGGGGCAGAGTGTGAAGCGCAGATACTATCTACCCCAGAAGCCCGAAAGAACTAGCACAGATAATTACAGGTATGGCTAGGCTGCTTGAAAACTGGTCTATCAAGCTGTTAATGTGATATCTGACTAAAAAGTAACAAATGCAGTGCTTATATACAGAAAACCAAGGCTTCAGAACACCATTAGAAAGAATAATCAATGTCATGGAGACAAACCAATACAGATTTGCCAAAGTTAAGTCACATCAGGCAAAACCTTGCTGAGATGCATGGATTTTTCAAACAGCTGGAATACGGATAGCTGCACATGCATGCTGAAACACAGAAAATCATTAGTTCAGCAGAAGAAAATGAGGCTTGGTAGAAAAACTGTGAAGTGGGTAAATAACTGCTAAATAGGGAGCTAGCAAAATACAGCATGTTGGAAGCAGATGTACTGGGGTACAGGAAGGTTATTAGAGAGGAACCTCCAAGACTAAACAAACTAAGTACTAAGTCTGGCATTTTGTTAACAATCATGGTGCAAAATTGAGGTGCGTACAGATGAATTTTGCTGCTCAATGTTAGACAGTGTAAAACAAAAGCAGTATGGAGACAATATACAAGAAGAACTGAATCACCTTTACAGCTGTTGGCCTGCAGAAATGGGATGAAATTCACCAGTATGAAGTACAAGGTGATACACTTGGGGCTACTAAGAAGAATTTTTTACTATATATTCTAAGTTCCTTTGAGTAGTAGGAAGAGCTTATTAGTACATCTCAGAACGAGTGTTAGTCACCAACATGATAACCGGGGGGGGGGGAGGGGAGGGGAAGGAAAACGCTGCTCTAAAAAGCATAAGAAACAGATTTTTGTAACACTAGAATAGTACCACCAGAGGTACAGAAGGCCCAAGTGTGATCATTTCACAGTGTCTGAAGTTCCAGTCCAAGAGAGCCAAGTGAAACCAGTGCAGAGGATGATTACCAGAAAGATCCAAATAAAGGAGAAATTGTTTTATATGTGGGAACAAAAAACTTGTCTTTGTAGTCTATGAAAAAGAAATTTGAAAGCATACATGATCTCTGCCTTAAACAGATGAAGCATGGGAAAGGAACTTAAGCACAGTATGCCCAAAATAAAGACAACAGGCCATACAAGCATCCCTAGCAAGAAAAACCCTACCTTGCCCTTGGCAAAAATCATCCTCAAGTGAACCTCCTGGAAGCTTACCTAGCCAAATGAATTGCTCTGGTAGTTCCCTTTACCACGTCCTCTTCAAAACCAGACTATGGGTAAACTACCAGTGAAGAAGCCAGCTACGAATTTTTAGGATTGAAATGAGAATAAGATTTGTATCTAGCAAAGCCTTGATGTTCTACAGTGGCTTCCCTCTAGCAGAGACAGGGCAGAAAACCCTTTCAGATAGTTTTCTGAGTTAAGGAAATGTATTGCATGGCTGCCTGCAAGAACAAAAATGGTCTTTACTTCGGTCAATACTTCTGCAACTGCAGATATTGTAAAATGTATAGACAGTATTTCTATCTCAACAAAATAAATGAACAAACAATATTTGACAGTCAACCTTTATGTCCTTTGCACCTTGCAAACCTAAGCAAACAGAACTTAAGAACTGCAAACCCTCCCTTAACTGCAACGGTTCCTCAGCGCAGACATTGCCAGTCAACGGAGTGACAGGAAAATGTATCTGTCAGGGTAGATTCATCTGCTACATTTCTCCTATCTTCCTTTCCTTTGGCATCCAATACCACCAGGAGACAATATTATTAATTTCTCTTGAGAATTTTCCAATTTCCAAGAAAAACTTCAGAATTTCTTCTTTAATGACAGCCACAATGTGCGTTGCATACCACAGTTCTGCATCTTTTTTCCAGATAAGCAGTGCAAGGGGGACCAGGGGACAAAGAGACTACTGACTAAGTTCATAACAATTACATTTATTTTCTAAAATTTGACAGGAAAAATGCAAAACATGAAAATAAATAACCATCCAGCACTGACAGTCCTAGTAAGTGGGCAAAAGAGAGCAAAATCTGAAAAAACATGCAGTGCTTTTAAAGCTTGGAGTCTTTTACCATTTTTAGTTGCTGGTAAGAAATACCAATTACCACAAACATCAAGCACACCGAAGACAATCTGCCTGTTTTAATAAAAAAGGTGAACAACTAAAACATGAAAATAAATAACCATCCAGCACTGACAGTCCTAGTAAGTGGGCAAAAGAGAGCAAAATCTGAAAAAACATGCAGTGCTTTTAAAGCTTGGAGTCTTTTACCATTTTTAGTTGCTGGTAAGAAATACCAATTACCACAAACATCAAGCACACCGAAGACAATCTGCCTGTTTTAATAAAAAAGGTGAACAACTTGAAATAATGCAAAGTAGTAGTAATAAAATAATAATAAATGAAAGGAACGGATTTCATTTTTGCTTCAGTGACCAGAAAGGAAACTCTGAAGGAGTTATTCCATATGCACTATTGCACCACTACGAACTTTTAATAGAAGAAGCACCCTTCCAGAAATTTAACATTTTAAAAAAAAACAAAAAAAAAAAGTCTGCTGTGAGGTCACAATAATTTCCAGATTTAGAAGCCCACATGGAAAAAATACTGACTTAACACCATCTAGAACAGGTGGAAGGAAAGGGGGGAATGCTATGGAGAGAGGACTTGCACTACGTGAGCTGTGAGAAGAAAGCAAGATCCTCCAGTCTGTTCAGGTGCTGTTAGCACCTTGCCTTTGTTAAAGGTTTTTGATTTTTTTTTTTGACTTGTCACCAGCAGAACACACTAACATATCTGTAGCAGCACCAGGGAAACGCAGAAGAACATAGCAAGAAATGCAAGTATATCCAGAGATAGTCCCACTCTAAGCATTTCCTTGTCATAGCACTGCTATGTTACTAACGCTTGGACATTTCATATTCAGGCTCATTTTCTACAATAAGAATCCACCCACTGAGTCTCCCTCTAAACATGAAGGCAGGCTACAGGAAAGAAGTGCATGCCAGGAAGCCTCTACCATTGCAACAGCACAGGCAAACAACACATGCCTCAACGCTGGAGCAAAAGCCTGCTTGGTGTTCTACTGTAATCATGCTCTTCAGAAAAAGCTAGCGTGTTGGAAGCAGTTCACTATTAGTTACCATGAAAGCATTTCACAATGGAACAGCTACATTTCTTTCATTAATCCTGGAAATGAGCTGTTTATTTCTTGTTTTAAAGCCCTGGGTTTTGCCAATACTGTTTACTGCTGCAGTCCGAGGACTTTACAGGCCAACTGCCGCAATACAAGGAACATGGCCCTTTCATGACATTCTCCAGTAGTGATAACAGGAATATTTAATGCCTTTCCTGTCATTTGACCTTCTGTACAGCTCTGAAGCTGTAACTCTGGGACAACACTGTGCTACTTACCTTTGGATATATAATGCAGGCAAGAAAGGTTGTAAGTTTCCTATACACAGACACATCAAAAATGAATACACAAATCCATTTCTATCCCACCCTATATATGGATATGCACAAAACCTGTTAAACTGAATGATTTGTACCTTATTAAAAAACCTTTGCTTGGTGCCAGTACAGCCCTCTTTACAGCTTCCCTTCATCATTTTGTGCTAATGATAAAGCTTTAAAAATAGTAATGGAATTGAACCACAAAGTCCAAAACCAGATGGCAACTCTTCCCAAGTTCAGGGAAGTAAAAATCAAAGATTCTTCTTAAAGCCAAGTTCTAACTGAAACAACCCTTTGCTGAAATAACACCGTTTGCATGATCTTCACTTCCTGCAAACAAGGGATTTTTTTAATGGTTATTTGAGGGCTTTATGTCCAAAAAGCTTTTTACTGAATTTTAAAACAAGGAAGTCAAAAACACTGCTGTAAAATAAAAAAGGTAGAGATATTGATAAAATAGAAAAGGTTTTTTACCATTTGTATTACTGTCTGAAGAGTAATTAAGTTTACTGTACATATTACAGTATAATTGCTTTAACAAAGAGAAGAGATTTTTTAACTTGGAGAAAGACATTACTTAAAGAAGGGAGGGAAGGAAGGAGGTTGAATAAATCAAGACCACATCTAGAGAAAATGATCGTTTAAATCTTCTTTAAAGATTGTATCTTAAAAATGGAAATGTGTGACCTTTTCATGTATAAATTCATAGCTGAAAAGAGCATACAATCTATCTTCCTCCCCATTGTAGCTTATTCTTGTATTTTTTTTTCCATTCTGCATTTCATTCATTTTACCTAATGCTAATTACGCCAACTAGTTGAGGACAACATAAAGGCTGATGCAGATACATCACTATAAATTTGTAAAGGACTACCTGAAGCAATGAACCTGAACCCCCAGTTCACACAGATGGAAAAGACTAAAAAAGCAAAGAATTTTGTTCAGCGTATAAAGCACTGGCTATAAAACATAAACTGTGCCACCTATATCAAGGTGGCATATATACATATATACATATATATACATATGTGTATATATATACACACAAGGTAAACAGAATGATAGAGGCAATGAACGATCATGACATCACAAGTATTTATGAAAAAATTCTTGCTATGAAGGTCAGAAAGATAACAGAGGAGTTCATATGAACTTAAATATCATGCATTTGAATAGTCTCTGCATAAAAATACAAAGTGCATGTGTGAACATATATATGAAAGTGTTTACAGGACTGGCAGCTAATTTCCTCCCTACATTAAAAAAAAAAAAAATCATGCTCAGGTTTTAATCACTCCCCTTTCCCCATTACATAAATCAGAAACTCCCTTCTTCTTTGCAATACTCGTGCTCTGAAGCTGCACACTGTAATGGGCTGTCTCTCTGGAGGTACATGATGTGCTGTCAGAGTAAGAGCTGCCAGATCACCACATCTCCAACAGTCTTTCACTTCCTCACTGGAAAGTAGATTTGGTTTTTCTCTCCTTTTCCGGACCTTAAAGCAGTCCCTTTATGAAAGAATGAGTGTAAACCTTTTCCATCATACAACAGAGCAGAACAATCGTATCTTTTATGTGTGTGTGTACATCTTTGGGTGGACAAACAAATTAAGACACCACAACCTGATCTGTAACGTAGTACGTTTTTCACATACCAAAACAAAAATGCAGGGCTCTAGAAGATTATACTTAGTATGTGATGGAATTAATTCTTCTAATCCAAGTCACTTTCTAGACTCCCTGCTTGTCAGTCTACTTTCTGACTTCCGTGTTCATACAAAGAGAGAGAGAGGATACACACACAAGAGTATGTGGCCTGCAGGTATATCCTGGACTAAAACAAAAGGATTAGCAGCTGAGAAACATAAGAACTCCTGCAACTGTCTGCGGTACACAGGCTCGAGGTCAAACCTACCCAAACCCACTGGAAAGTGCATGTACAAATATGTAAGAAAATGCAGCATGTGTGAACAGTAAGCATAGAACAAACTCAAAATACACTTTGATTCTAAGCAAAAAAATCGAGAGGAGGAAGAGTAATGAGAAATCATCATTGAATCTAATATGAATTATTTTACAAGAAGGAAATGTAATCTAGTAATTTAGGCACAAAAGATCTATTTCTAGTGTCCAGAAAATTTTCTGTCTTACAAGTATGATGTCTGCTCTAAACTAAAAAAAGCTAGCCAGACACTGTAAATAAGTAGGCATTCATGAACTTCCCAAAGACCACAATTTTGTCACATCCATCATAAAGAATCTATCCCAAAGCAAAGCTTACAAACAGATTCAAATATCAATAGTACTTTAATGTGGCTCAACTGAAGAAGTTACTCTTATTTAGGATATTAGAAGCGAAAGCAAAAGCATTAACTTTTTCTCTATTATTCTGTTTTTCAAACACTTGAAAGTAGTTACAAAATTCAGTCTTCTTAAATTCATATGTGAAAACAGATAATGAAATTAAGAACAATGCCTTGTCTGAGCATGCCTCAATAAATGATCTTCGAAAAGGAAAAGGAACAGAGCCGCGTGTAAGTAGCGTAATTCCAACAGAAATAATGAATGAGAAAGTACACCCACAAGACACTCCTTTCCTTCCTTGGAAACAGACACGAACTCCCTTCTCGCTTAAAAGACAATCTTGCTACCATCTTTTTACAACTACAATATAATCACTGCCTAATCATTTTTCATAATTGATTCAATTTCCTATCTCAAGTAGACAGGTGCTGACAGCTTGTCTAAAATAAGCTAAGACGACATAAAAGAGTGTGCAAGATGCCTGTTACTGGAAGCATGAAAGGAGGCAGAATTTCAATGATCCATGAAGCATTTGCTAGACTATATTTACCATCCACAAGATGATGGGCAAAACCAACTTCGTGCTCAGCACAGAACTATTTTTAAAGGATGCTACTTGCCAGGAAGAAAAGCAGGCTTCTGAGTCCCAAGTTCTTGCTTTTTTCCTTTAGAAATACTATGGATATAATATATCCTCAGTCAGGAGATATATAGATATAAATATAGATACAGATATTCAAGATATAGAAGTAGCTTTCTTAACATGCATTTACAAATCTTCCTTTTTGAAAAAGGACCCAAAGTTATTGCTAGCATTTACATGCTTATTGTATTCTGCAACAGTCTTTAAGAATGACTATCCTTGTCAGGAAACTAAGTCTGTTAGGCAGTGTTCATCCAACCATCTGGACATGTCTCTTCGCAGTAGTTGAAACTCCACAGTTAAGATTTCCTGAACTCTCAAAATGCAGGAGATGCGTGGAAGTCAAGAAGATACAACATCTGGATTTGCCCCCAGCTGGGGAAACAGACCAACTGACTGTGCATTTGTTAATGAAACCGTAGACAACAAATGAGGCCACCTCCAGTACATTAACAGTAAAACACTTTTCTAAGTCTCAGCTTCCTCAGAGCCTCTGTGCTTAAGGCATATCTTGCATTTATACAGTACCATTTAGCCAGAAAACCACCAGAGCCAAAAAACACTTTTCAGACTTAAGCTGGCAGATAAATCGAGACCATTCCACCCACCATGGAAACAGAACCGTCTGGTTTAACAATGTACATGATTACAAAATAACTGGACAAATGAAGAAGCAAATTGTACACCTAATCTAAAATTATAAATACTTTTTATTTAAATTGCTTGTACAGATAATGCAATTCCCGACACATAAGGCACAGAAGTCAAAGGGACACTGCCAGAAGAATTATTTTAACTGTACTCTTTTCATCTTAGATAAGCTGAAATAGAAACAAATTTAACATCTTATTTAAATTCTCATTATCTGGTGAGCTTTGCAGCATGATCGCTGTTGGCTTTTTAATTTTCATTCAATTTCAACCACAAAAAGACCTACTTTTATTTTTTGGCTTCCATTAAAAAAAGCACAATATGGAGTGTTTGCATGGCAAGTTTTGGATGAAGATTCCTAATGACAGAGCAACACCTACCTTTTATTGCTCATTGAAAAAAGTAACTACCAAATATAAAATGGCTTGTGTAGCAGGATCTTCTTTCAAAATGGAAATGATCTAACTTTTGCGTGAAGACCTTTTCTGGGCTATGCATGTGCATTTGTTAAGCACTAACTCAGCAGAGACGAAAACATTCCAGCTGCCAAGGCACAAATACCACTTCACACAGCACCTGCTGCAAAGTGTTCTCTAGAGCTCTGCTGAGTAAGTGACCTGATGCAATCCTGCAGAGTTTAGGAAATACCACAGGATAACAGAGTAAAGAGCTACGCTTTTACTCTGAGTATGTATTCAAAAAATTATCTGAGTCAACCAAATTCTAAGACAGCTTATTAGTTTTTACAAAGCTACATGTACTCAAGAATTCATGGACGCTACTTTTGAGTGACAGCTAGGAAACTTCTGAAAATGAATTATCAAATTATTACTGTAATTTCATTTAAAAAAAGAATTCCAGGTCACTGTATGTCCTAAACAGTAGCTTTAGGAAACAAGAGATGTTTTTCCTTTCATGAAGCTTAAAACCCTTAGATTTACTATAAAATACATTGTAATACTATAAATTTCAAAACCACCACAAATCCCCAGTTCTTCATAAGCAGTCAGAAGATAATTGGTTCCATCTAGTGGCTGAACAGAGTTACAGACACTCAGAGAGTTTTCATGTTTCTTACCTATTCCAATTTGTGGCCCCAACAGGAAGAATGATACCAGCACCAAACACTGCACTTCACACTGTAACAGTAATAACCTAATACAGAAAGTCTGACAGTACAGAGATGGTGCAAAACTGTTCTAAACAAAAAATGAGCTAAAACAATGACAGATGTTTTTTATCACAGCATTTTAGTGCCATACAAATATCTTGCTAAATAGTGAAGCCGAGACTCCCCCTACAAAACTGTATTTGCTCAAATGCTTTCTATGTTTTGTACTCTACCAGTTAGAGACGAAGGTATCTGCCTGAGGTACTTGCAGGACGCTCTGTACTTTGGATCCTTGCAGACTTTAGTGATACCTGTTGTCACAAATACCAGTGCAGTTGTGCTATTATCTCCTCTTCACAGTGGAGAGAACTCATACTGAAAAAGTGACTTAGCCTCTAATAGGGCAGGGAATTTAACCCAGCTACCCTAGATACCAATCTTGTGTCTAACCCACCAAATTATCTTTTCCCTGCTGTGCCAAAATGACACTTCAAAGCACTGCACCCCCATTTCTCTCCCCCTTCTGCTGCTGGACTGTCAACCCTATGAAATCTGTGAAAACAAACAATAATGAACAATTTTGAGCATGGAAAGAGCACTTTGACAACCCACCATACAACACTGAGATCAACAATGCTGTTTCACTTGAGCCTCTTGCACCCATAGGTGCTTCTGTAAATAGATAAAATAAATGGCAGGACCTACCTGTGATTTGTGTTGTCATGGAAACGAGCAGTGAAAAATTCAAAGCTACCATGGAAATATTAACAGAGTAATTGGTGCCTGGCTGCAAATCAAAACAAACTTCTGGAGCCTGCTTGTGTGTGGTAAGGTTGAAGGTCGTTTCATGAAAGAACTCCTTCTGATACCAACGCTGGCCTTGCACATGAAACTGCAACCAAACAATCATGGCATGGAAATTGCAATGTTTTAATATATCACTTGCATTCAGTCATGTCATGCTCTAAATTAGAAGAAATAGCAGAAAAACACATCATTGCATACAGACTGCCAAAATTGTTGGCACTGACAGTTATTCAAATTCAAATGCTCCCAAAATTTGACAGGAATTGCAGTCCCTCTTGATCAGCTCTGACATTGTCCTAGTTCTTTCACTTCTCCTCCTCCAAGTCTATCCTCTTTTTTAGTACTGTAATTTCCCGAAGTCTTGATTTCCTGCTGACGTACAGGCTTCCAGTAATAGTGCACTTTCATCGCAGTATACCCTCATGGTGCAAAGTAATGAGTTATAAAAGTAAGCTCACAGTTAACACCTCTCTGGTTTGACCCTGAGGAGCAAGTCAAAATCAAGCCATTTTGACCTACGTCAAAATGCCAAGTACCCTCCAGCCTACAGACAGCTGTTTCGAGGCAAATTTACCATGGGTTTTTTTTGTTTCAGTTGGATTTTGTGTGAGTTCCTAATCGCTCCTCTGTTAATGAAAACTAAAATGCTTGCTGTATTTTAATCATGTGCTAATTTTCCTTTAAATAGATCCTATGCCTTTAGATAATCTCTGAGCACACGGAGATTTGAGACAACAGCAGGTGGTCAAGAGTCCTGGCAGAGATAGTTCACGTAGAAATGTCCTGCTGGGACGGGGGCAGATTGAAGACATACCACAAGGCAGAGTGGACTGACTCCGTGGAATTGGAACAGAGTTGTCTGAGGCCTGAACATAACAAAATTGAAAGTGCAGATAGGGAAGGCAAAATAGAGTAGAACAGGGGAAAAAGTAAGCAAGAAACAGGAGACTACAAAACGGCATGGTGGCTTCTTTCTTTTTTGAAAGTTGCTATGCAAGATTACTCCCTGGGTTTTTATGAGAGACATTATTAGAATGAGGAACACTGCTAGCAGTGAGTGTTTGAAAAATTACAGGTTTTTTCACATAGGTGATTGATATAAATTGTTTTCTAGATTCAAAATACAGGTTGTCACTTACGGAGTATCTGTCTTCCACATCAGTTCCCCTGACATTTCTCCGCCATTTCAAGCAGGTATCATTAAAAATTAATACATTATTGAAAGCTTCCTTTACTGTAGAGACAATAAAAAAGGGAACAACTTATTACAAAAACTTCACCTTCTTCAACTTAATTGGATATGAGTAGCTGAAAATAAAAAAAAAGGTTCTTATTTTAATTCTCTTCTGAGAAGGAGGTAGAATCTAATTTATTTTTGAATGAACACACACAGTAAATAAAACATGAACATTTTCCAAAGAAAATGGCTTTCAGAAAAACCCAAGCATGCTATTCAGGGAATCAAGATAGGATTTATTCGTCCAGACCTAGGGAGGTTATAGTGACAGAAAGATCTAGGGGTTCAGACCTTCTGATGGAAATCAAGTTGTCATAGAACAATTTGTCACAGTTGATGCCCTTTAGGAAAAAGCATGTGAGAAAAAGCATTTTTGTGGATTCCAAAGGCAATTATTGCTGAATGTCTGTCTCATCAGAATTAGTATGTCAGAAAGCAAGCTTAAAGTTTCCATGACCAAAATACTGCAGAAACCCACTGTTAGAACACGCCTTCTCCACAATTACTGAAAAACTGCCAGAACACTGCTCATCACTGCTAAACATAGGAACATTATCTATAATGCTCGCATCACTTAGATTAGCATCACACAGCTCAGCAACAGGGAATTCTTCCACAGTCAGAGAATCAGTTTTCAAGGCAAGGAATGGAAACCAGTAAGCACTGTACCATAGACTGAAATTCCAGCATGTAGCCAGGAATGCCACTGCACCAATCCTGCCTCAGCCAGAAGACAAATCCTGAAGAAACAAGTTTGCCAAACTTTTCTGAAGGGCACTTACTGCCACTGCTCTGTTTGCTCATAGGTTCAATGACCACAGTGAGCAGAAAGAAGAATGTCTTGCAGAAAAAGAGGATGCTGATGGTGACTACATGTGCGTAGTCAACGTAAAGAATGAGATAGCCCAGGAGACAGGCTGTTATCCTGTCTGCTAGACTCAAAACAGTGAGCTCTGCAGCACAGTAAGTTCTCCTATAAGCACACAGAATACAAAACACAACCTACCCTTTGTTTGAACTGCTACTGTAACTGAGACAGTGATGTTTGTGGAAGAGATGGTAGTAATATTCACCACGTAGTTACTGCCAGAGTTGAGATCTAAACACACCTTTGGATTATCTTCACTTGTAGTGATGTTAAATACTGCATCTTCTGAGAACGTCTTCTCATCCCATCTTTGGCCCAGTATGTGAAACTATTGAAGGATTAACAAAAACGATGGTGCAATTGGTTGTGGCTCTCCAAAATTCAGAATACTAGTTCCATTAAGCGTTGAGAACCTAGGATTACATCTGTTTTAGAATATCAGCTCAATCAAAAAAATAGGCTTGTGACTGTTTTGGTGCAACAACATGGCTTAATACATTAGATCTTTAATTTTTTCTGGCTGTTAAAATTATGGATATTTTTCCATATATTTCTACAACAAATAGAAGGAATCTATAACGAGGACCCTACAAACATCCCCAACACAAACAGTAAGGTGTAAGTAAAAATTCTTTGTTTACAGCACACAGATGGAAACTACATCTGCTTGCTACTTTCTTTTTTCTAGTTTTCCCCCCTTGCCCTACAGAGGCAGTAGTAAGGCTGAATGCCAAACCACAGTAAAAGACAAGCTTCCCTAAGATCATCTCAATGCAGTGAAAAAGAAACCTGTTGTTTGTATGACACGAAGGGACAGACAAAACTTACCTAGTTGAGCTTAAGGCAGTCCAGACTGTGTTCTGAACTTTACTGCATGCACCCTATGCCTACATCAGAATAGTCAAAACTGAGGATGAAATGTCTTGCAGATAGCTGAATTCAGGCAAAAGCACATGCACAGAGCACATTACACCAGAGATCCACAGCTTGCCAGTTACCACTGAGTACATGGAAAAGCACTGGATTTGAACTGTTAGGGTAATTGGGAACTTGTTTTTTCCATCTCAGCAGTGCTTAACAAAAGCCCTCAAACTAAAAATACATTGGTTTTGTAACACAGAAGGAGAAAGACAGGTTGTTTTCCAAAATTATCACTCAACCTTGAAACGTATTTTCCACTTTCTTTTTTCCCTATTTGCACATGCTCAAAAACCCAACCTTTCTTGGAATGTTGTCATTCTCAAAATATGGGAATTCTTATCACCTTGTTTTGGCTTTCGATAACACTGACTGAACTACTTGTTTCTGAGAATTTATATCTTAACTTTTATTGTTATGCTTATAGATGGCCAAAAAAAAGTAGTTACCAAGGTTGCTTTCAATTTCCATGAAAAACAGTTCTAAAATATAAGGTGGTTGAATCTCTTGAGCAAGGCACAGTAGTTCAATATACCTTGCATTTCTAAAACAAGTTACATCCAGTATCTGCAAGTGATACACTGTTTACTTGAAATGTTTGCATCACAGATAAGGACAGAGCCCAAGTTTTGCAATGTTTTCTATGTCAATGTGACCCTGAGCTCTACAACAGAATTGCACTAAAACATAAACTTGTGCTGAAATGCTTCTTATAGTTTCAAGCAGATGCTTAGGTGATTTACTGGAATAGGACCCCAACTGTTTCTGCATTTTTCACCTAACTTCAGGACAGGGATTTGTTTCTTTCCTAACCCAGCCACCTTTAGGTTTCTAGGCAGTTCACTGGGAAGAATGAAACAAATTACCATACAAACAAAACCCACAAAACAAATCTCCACTGCTGACTCACCAGAATTAACCAGGCCAAAGCTACTCCCAATCTCAAATACTGCCGCACTTACTGTGTACGTTTCCTGCACTCCCAGTCTTCCAGTTTTCCTTTGCCACCTCACACACGTTTCATTGAATACAGACAAATTACTGAATAATTCCTCCTCTGTGAGCAAAAACATGAACACAGAAGGAAAACAGTTATTATTTCTCATGCAAATCTTAAACAATTGCTCCAAACATATTATTTCTTCCTTTTCCTCTGTTTTTTTTTTTCCAAACAGGAAAAATAAAACAAGGTAGGCAGAAGTTAGGAAGTAAGTTTTCCCTTAACCATGTCTGCTCCTAAAATTAAAAGACAAGGCTAACTGAAGAAGCATGTTCTGAGCTAATGACTGTGAAGTCCTTAAACACACAGACAGCATTACGTAAACTACCATGACTAATGAAAACAAAATACTTCGCTAGGCTTGCATTTTAATGTAGAGCAATTTTAATTATAATGACTTTACAGATCTTGAAGAGGACATTAAAACTACATTACAGTTTCCTGACAGCAAAGGAAGAAGCTCATTAACTCCATCTGACTGCTGATACGTTCCTATATATAAAAGCATACATATATAACAGCATTGTTTCTTACACAAGGATCTTCAGTATATACTGCATTAAAGACTAGAATCTTTCATACCAGGTGACCAATCCAGGCAAAAGAGCCAATGAGAAAAGACATTTTGCTCTGCTTCAGACATTCCTCCTAGTCATAACACATTAAACTTGTACCGTGTATAGGTATTCCTGTATTCCTGGTCAAAGTCTTCCATTAAAGTGTGCTTATGACAGTATCACACCACCAAAAATGAAGAGCAATAAACAATGCCCTAATTCCACTACTTCCGCCACCCATTCTATATTGTCCTTGAAGTTGGGTGCCAGCATCCGGATCTCGTGACATGCAATGGTCTGTAGTCTAAAGAATAACCCACTCACAAGTCAGCTTGAAGACTTTGTAGACTATTGGATCTCATGGATTAGAAGTCTCATTGAACTGCAAATAAAGAAGCCAAGCTGATTTAAGAGTGCTGTCTGTAAGAAAAAGAGGCTAGCAATAAGCCAACAAACTTAGAAAAAAATGTTCTTCTGAATACAACAACCTGCATTAAAGCTTTTTAAGAAAGCTTCTGTGTTAGATTGGAAAAGAGCTTTTTTGTAGCTGAATGAATGTTTTGGTTCATTAGTTGTTAGGGTTGCTTTTTAAAAGGTGTTGACACTTTTCCTTGTTTTATAATAAATAAAATTAAATAACACAGCCACAGTAAAACACTTTTCAGAACAAACACTAGATTAAAAGAATGAAGCCCGAAGAACTAAGCATGTAGGGAATACAGCTGTGGCAACGAGAGATACATCCCTCAACATACCTGTGTTAATTTACACACTTTTAAGAGTTGGCTTATGCCTCAGAGAAAAAGCACTGCCAGGAAGATCAACTCATCCGTTCTTTTTTTAGGCAGTTCTCTCATTGCTGTCATCAGACACAGAGCAGTTGCCTTCACATGACAAGATTATCAAGTATCCTCCCAGAGCTAAGAACAAAGCTCCTTCTGGTCACAACTCAGATTGACAGTGAACCTATTTGCTCCTCTTCTTTCCTTCCCCACCCTTCAAATAGTCATTCCTTTGTCCTACCACCATATTTTCTTACTACATTCACTACATGACCAAGGTCATACAAATCCGAGCTCATGTAGATTCTAAGCTGAAAAGCCCTTACTAGCTGCTGAAAAAATGAAGGGGATTTATAGGACAGCCTTGGTAGATACTTCAGAAATATTCACACAATAGTTGGTGTAACGCCCTGCTGTAAAAGCAAGCTCAGCTCACGGCACTCCTCCCCACATGTAAACTTCGTTACCATTTCACAGGGGCCCCCTTGTAGCACATGGACATGAAGCTGTCACTGAAAAACAAATACATCAATAGTCTCTAAAACTCCTATATGTAGGCAGTTATTTAGAACTAAAGTGTAACTGTTTATGTATTTTGCAGCACTTTATTTTCTTTTTCCTTTCCTTTTTTTTGATTATTAAAACTGTCATAAAACTGTTTTCTAACGATATCTCCCTCTGAACATATTCAACAAATAGATACCTCACTCACTAGACCAGTTTATCTCCCAAGTAATTCTAATTCCCCATTCCAAACTGTTGTTAAATATGGAAATGCTGTTGAAAGCTTCCTCTTCTACAGAGCAGAAGAAAAGGAGATTAACCTGCATGTCCTCTAAAACAAATTTCCTTACAAATGGCTGTGTGATTAATTGTATTTAAGTGCTGCTTATTATTATTGTGTTTCACAGTAATGTCTAGAAACTCTGCAGTATTAAGACTTCTGTACCAACACAGAGCAAAAGAGTATGTTCAGTTGTATTCTTTAAATCAGATACATTTTTATTAAAAGACCAGATGGCAAAAATTACTCAAGAGCACAGCCAGAAGGAAAATGTTTGCATATCCATGAGATCTAAACTAAAATGCATAATAAGAAAGGAAAAACAACGTAATCTCTGAGATTGCTCAGCAAGAAAGCCAGGCACTTGATTCATGAGTTTGTAAAATACTCAGTAAAAAAATAAAGCAGCAAACAACAAAAAAGTGATTATGCCAGGTATTCAGGCAAGGAAAGAAGTCTTATACAGTGGCCTCCTTGGAAGGAAGAAGGCAGAACTAGTAGCATTTTTTTCTGTAACTACATCGATTTTTCTGTCATGCTTTCTGAACTTTCAGAAGGACAAGGCCACCATGCAATTACCATACATCCACAGAACAGCTGGCAAACTTTTTCTCAAAAGTTCCCACTCTAAATAGGCAGGAGTAAAAAAGGACAAAAAGTTGTAACACGCACAGAGCAAACACCACAACAGAGTCCTGGGATTTCTGAGGAGACTGCTTTTCCACCCTTACTGATCACCCACTCTTCGTTTGGATAACCAAATGCACAGTAAGTGCTTGGATTAACATTAATCCCAGTAGCAAAAACACAGCATCCAATAACAGCACAAAGGTATCTCTGAAAAAACTATTCTAGCACCTAGAGGGAAACAGGTTCCCTGACAGATTAGTTCTCCTGTGAAATCTAACAGTGCCAGTGACTTCCAGAGCTTAGGAACTCCCGAAGTGAAACACACTATACGTGCCTGGCCTCAGCATGATGTCTTAGCAGACAGTGGCATCCAGGTCTTCAACATATCTGATTCTGATCAACAGCTTTCGCTCAGACTCACAAATGAGACGGGACAAGTGAAGACCCTCAGTTTCCTCATACTTCAGCCCTAGAAATTTCAACTTGTGATTAACCGAGAAGGCCACTGGATGCCACTGCTGCTCCACTGACATCCAGTTTACCCTCACAATCTCCTTCCCATCCCAAGGGAAAGGCTCCTAGAAACAACACGCAAATGCCTGGAGAGCAGAGCAGAAGGGTGGAAAAAGATCCTGGAGGAGTCAGATACTGAAAGACAAATCTGGGAGAGGGTAGAGAGATGCAGGAAAGACAGGTGCTGGTAAACGGAACACAGATGGGAGAATGCAAACAGTGAGCAGCAAAGTGATTCAACAGAGCCAGTGAGCGTCAGAGGGCGAGAAATCATGTTAAGAAAGCCAAAGAAATTAATTCTAAGAAGGAAAACAAGGAGTGAAGATCTCAGTCTTCTTTACTCCACTTTTAAAAGCTCTGCGAGGAAGGAGGACCTCTGTGCTTGAGTGTGTGAGAAAACCTTCATAGTAATTACAGCCAGTGCATAATAAGAGCACTGTCATGCTCTTCTGCCTTAACCCTGTGCTGTGAGGACCAACCTTAATCCTTCACTTATCAGCCTCTGCGAGTTCAGGTCCCAGTACTCAGTGCTATTATTTGCTGATTCAGAAAAAAACCGTAACACACAGACAACTCTATGCCTAAATAGTCATTAAAACCTCATGACTTCTTCCACATATACAGTCTACTAGTCCTCAGTTGAAAGAGCACTTGACTACCACTGACCTCAGCTCAAGATACATCTTATTAGTGAAGTATTTTTGAACCTGCATGAAAAAACACCATTTACCAGAAAGCAGACAGAACCAGCTCCAATCTGACATTTCATCTTCTGCAAGTAGCTAAAAGAGCATCCACATGTGCAAATTCACTTAGAGAGCTCTTCCCACCAATCCCCACACATACATGAAATTTTAGCGGAAAGAAAAAAATCCAAATATTAGCTTTTTCTGTATGTTTTGCCTGTTTAATTCTGTGAAAACTGTGAATGATGCTGCAAATGCCATCTGCTACTAACACGCACCACACATACATTCAGACACAGAAATTAAATGAGAGCAAACAACATTTCAAAGAGAACTTCTGCTCAGACTGTTTCAAGGCACCTGTTCCATAGCATACAGGCAAACTCCTCTCGCACAGTAGCTTTCGCAAGTATACATGGAATTTATTTTACAAAGACATATCTTTGGTATTTATTCCTTTAGGGTAGCATGGTAAGTTTTTATGAGTTACATTTTGAGTAACATACCTGCTTCCAGTTTAACTAGGATTGCAAAATTTTAGCAGGTTTTCACCTTCAGCCCCAAACTTTACACAGAGGAAATCCACAAAGAAACAGCAAAGCTGTAGGCAGAGACAGTTATGCAGGAAGGAGCAGACAGATAGCTAATGATTTATTACTTCCTTTGGTCTAAAAATGTTACCAAGAGACAATCAGGAATAGAGTAATTCATGTATTGCACCAGACTGACAAAAACATAAGAGATGCAATTGTGAGCATACTTACAAAGGAAAGATGTATCAATCAAGGGTGTCAGACTAGACGGGATTAGATGGGCTGGGATTAGAAAGGCACATGATCTATGCCCCAGCTGAAAGAGGTTCCTGAGACCGGAGACTGGTATTTGCCATCACAAACTGGGTAATTATTAATTTGGTTTCAAACAAACAAACAAAAGCCTAAACAGCCCTGCAAAAAGCTACACTTTTTGTTTGTTTGTTTTAATTGTCACTGGGTTGCAACACTTTGATCTAAGAAGTAGCACCTCCCATAACACAGACTCCACCTGTGTTTTTCCAGGCAATTAAAGAAATTACCAGATTACCAGATGTCTGGATTTAACATAGCAAATTAGGCCTTTACAAGAACTCAGGCCAATGAGATCCTTTTCATTGATGACTATAATTATCCTAATTGTTTGATGAGGTTCTTATTCCTACAGAACCATGGGTTTTGAATCAATGCCCACAGATGTGAAGGACATCTTTTCTATTAAACTCGTAACTGTTGAGATGAATTATTTACACATGGCTGGGAATAAAAATTAGGAGAGTGACAGTTAACCCATTCATTGTTGTGTGGAAATTACTGATGTTGCCACCACAGAAACTTTCCAGCTGTCCTTCTGTATCATCTCTTATTGTACAAGTGAGGATGTGAAAACTGACATCCCAGAGAATTCTAGCTAGAGGGAAAATCAGTCATTGGGAATAGGGATAAAGCACAGGGAAAGTGAAAGCAAAGGGAAAACAACTCTGGATTAAAAAGAGAATAACTAGACCCTCTCGCTTGCATGGAAATTATCTTTGCTATAGGTCTACATTTAAATGACACCTGAAGGATGATCCTGCTCTGTTTATTCCAGACTGGATTCAGATTTATCTTTTGATTTTTTTTTCAAGTTTTTTTTGCATTATGAAAGTATTCTTTTCCTCTTCTGCAATGTTTTAAAGTGCGAAGTGTGGACAATCTGCTATGCCTTCTCTGGACTGATTCATCAAACCGCTCTTCCTTCTAAACCTTCAAATCCCTGAAGCATGTACTTAGCAAGTATCCTCCATCCTCTTCAGCCGTTAGGATTTTCAGTGCTGGCATACAACACCCATTTTCTGGGAAATGGCTCAAAACTAACACCTTATTCTCTTGATGCTTTGAAGGTACTCCTCACTACCACAATACCCAAGTTCCACATGATTATCTCAACAAAATCTCCAGAGGTCAAGACATGCAGCTAAACTCTACTTGTGGATGGGGAGTCACAAGACAGAAAAATGAAGCATTCTGGAACAGAAAATTAACCTTTACTGAAAGTTGGGCAGTTCATATTGCATTTATTAAGAGGTAACGTAAAAAAGAGCATGCACACAAAAGGTTATGACACAGAAGCTCCAAGTGCAGGATCAGACAGAATGTACACTGGTGTGAAGAATGATTTTTTTTCCCTATTTGAGTTTCAGGTTCACAATACACTGGGACTGGATCATCCTTTCCTCTGTATACCATGCACGCAAAGCCTACAAACTGTTGACAGCCCTTACGGCCTAACACTACTCTGGAAGGCTCTCACAACTGACCAGTAAGATTGCTGTGCTCTCAGACTCAGCATTAAAGGGACACAGAGGTCAATTTTCCCTTTCGACTACAATAGCTATTTCCCACTGCCTGAGTTCTGGAATGCTTTACCAATAACGCGCATTACCTTTCCATGCAGGTCAGATTCATTCCCTCCTCCAGCATTTTTACATATCCATAGACTTTTCCCACCCATGTGCAGCAGTTGCTTCTTTTGCAAGGAAAATATTTCACTTAATACATAAAAAAACACTTAATAAATGCATTTCCAATAATATAGTGAAGAGTGGTACTGGAGACGTTTAAATACTGAGACGTTATTCTTTAATGCAGACTTGTATTTTTTTTTTCCTTGGATAAAAATAAGGAAATTGGACAAACTGCTTGTCTTTTTTAAGAGACCATACTGTTGCTACCCACATCAACAGACGCTAAACTCACTGAATACTAACAATCTCCAAAGAAAACAGACATAGAGAAGGAGTTTTCTAGGATCAGAATAAGGAGGAGCAGCCAACCCAACCTATGTGCTTACAGCTGAGACTAGAGCCAATTGTTACAGAAAGGATAGATCAGGTACTGTGAAAAATCTCTCATGACAAGGATATCTCTAGGACTTGGGACTGGGAAATTGGAAAAGGCTTGATTGCTCTGTCTGTGTGTGTGTACATGTGTACATGCATGTACACAATCTACACATATTACAAGGGGAAAAGATTTTACTTCAGCATCTATGTTAGCCCTTCCTGACCTTTTACTACCAAACATTTGTACGCAAGCTCAATGAAAGACAAAACCAACTCATTTACACATTTTCATTTCAGACACCCTCCAGTAACTCTCCCTGCCCTTCTCAAAATGATACTCTTCATGGACTTGGTAACAGCTTACAATATACATTGCACACTGTGCCATTTGCAAGTGCAGATTTAGGAACAAGCATCTCAGATAGATAGCCAAGGCACAAATCACGTTTTTTCTGGCCTTCATACAGCCATGATAAATAAAAAAAAATCCCTTATCTGCGGAATCCACTCAAAAAGAAAAATGTGAGTGGGAAGGCTTCATTTCATACTTTTCACTTTAATAAAAAAAATGCAACTCTAAGGCGTATGTTACCTTATGTCCCATTTTGAGCCCACACGCAGAACAACCTCTCTCGGTAAGATAATAAAATAAATGCAACTCTAAGGCGTATGTTACCTTATGTCCCATTTTGAGCCCACACGCAGAACAACCTCTCTCGGTAATCTTATTACTACCAAAAAAGCTCAGGTTGACAATTTCTCCTCTGAAATTCACAAGGGGAAAACCAAGCTTCTTGTTTCAGACTATCTTGTATTCCACCACGGCATGCTATAGTGCTTTATAGCCAAAGCCCTCCCCTGAAACAAACTGAACCATTATTCCCACAAGGGGATCTTGCTTTCACTCTGAAAAAAACTTCCCAGATTTACCATGAAATCCCACCAGAGCTCAGCACAATGTGTGCCTGCAATAACAGCACACCATTTCTGCAATGAAAATAAATGAAACCACGCATTCCTACTCCGCAGGGGAAAAAGAAGTTCTTCTAAGACAAGCTTTACAGGATGTCCAGACTCACACACTGAGCATACTGGACAGCCGGTATTTAATTGCTGGTATGTTCTCTACACTTTAGTCTCTTGAGTTTGTGTGTACAAATCAAGGGTTGGGAAAGGAAGACTGTAATCCAGCTTACTATTGCCAGACTTCACTGCTGATGGCTTAATCCAATCAGCATCTCTCAGTAAGACTCATTTTGTTAAGTAATTTAACATTTAAACCAGCTACTACTAAATGTACTTATATATATACACACACACATCTACTATATACCCCAACAGACAATGCAACCAACAATGCAAATAAAGGGCATTCCATAGCAATCACTCCCTAAGAAATGAAGAAGTGATTATTTGCCAAAGGGAACATGCTCAGGGGAAATTCTTAACTTCCTTACTCCTGATGAGGTTTTCCAGGCAGTAGGAAAAGACAAGTGGTCTTCTGACTTCTGTCATAAGTTGTTTTGGAATGGTGCATGATTTTCTCTCATTTTAATGGGAATTACTGATTAATTACATACATGCTTAAGATCGTATAAATCTGAAAGGCATCATTACTGAAACAGAAATTCCATTTCATTTGAAAATTACCTGTAATAAGTGTGAAAAATATAGAAGTTAAGAAGCTGAAGACTTTTGTACTAATCTCCTATTCTCTCCCCCCCTCCCCCAAAGGAGCCTGGACTAGTTAGGCTATTTTTTTTGAAGTTTTTTCCCATTCTACTTGACCATAACTCTGACTTTTTTGGCCCTCTGATCCAAGAGCTAGAGCTGGAGTCTACATTTTTGCCTCTAGCAAAGCTCTTGCTGAAATCCATGGTAACCCTGTGAGCGCAGTCTGCAGGTTCAGGCCCCTCAAAACTTCAGAGTGCTCAAGACAGAACTCTCGGCACTGTGAAGACTGACACACCTGATTAACTTAGCCACTCTACACAATGCTGGCTTCAAAACCAATTCAGAAAGTACTGCTATGCAAATTGCCTAAATGAAATATGAATTATGACTTCTAACAACAGTTCCATTTTTATTAGGGCACTATAAAAAGTGAGAGAACTGCTTTTCTGCATGCTCATTTTATTTAATGTCACGTTTTAAATTCACAGTGAATGCTCAAGACGTCAAGCGAGGCAAGAGAGGCATCAAGTGGCAATTCTGTGTAAAGGCCTGGTCTATGAAGTGGTAGCAGTCAAAGACAGGCTTCCAGTCCTTTTGAAAAAACATGTGGATGTTACAAAGCTACAGGAATGTTACCATCTGCAAAAGACAGCACTGCTACTTAGAAGAAGAGATGGACAGTCATAGATCTATCTTGTGACACCTGTTGTTAAGGACACAGAAGAACACTAAGGAGCACAACAGCCGTAGTCCAAAACATCTGCTCTTTTGTTGCTATTATTAAAATGTCAGTACATCCTGTCTCCAAACCCACAGTATGACAACACCTTCATTACAGATCTCCCTTCTCAGGACTCATTCTTTTATAAGAAAATCCTTCTGGACTGAAATTCAGACAACTACATCTAGGCTGGAAAGGCAAACATGCACAAATTTTACTTTGGGCATTATGAGAGAATTAAAAAAAAAAAAAAAAAAAAAAAGGAGTTTTGAATTCCATTGCCCCTACTTTCATCGCAGTGCACTTTACAGTATTAGGCCCACAACAAAATGTCATTAAATGCCTTTTGTTCATCTGGTGATACTCCCGTCTTTCAAAGCTGAAGGTTCTCAGTGCGGCAATGAAACTCCAGTTGCATTAGTCCCTTTCGTTTGAAATAGAAAGCAAGACAGCTACAGAAAGATTTGTGACATCCACTAGAAATTGTTGCATGATTAACATTCTCTTCTGTGACCTTTCCATCCAAAAGTACCACCATGTTCACTATATCGTAAATTAGAAAGGGATTTCTTGCCTTCATCCTTCCTCCTGTTCCTACCTTCAGAACAGGAATGAGAAACTATTTAAATAGCACACCCCACAGAACCTCCTACAGTAATATTTACCTTTGCATATGTATGTAATATTCTCCCATGACTGATCTATTGTGCATTCTGAAAAATCCCTGTCTCCATTAAAATAATATCCTTCTTTACACTGATAGTACGCTCTGCTCCATAGAGTGGTAGAGTTGTGCCAGATCATTTCTGCGTGTGGAATCAGCAAAGGTTTGCCACAGTCTATTTCTGAAACAGAAAAAACAGGGTAAGAAAACCTGAAAATGAAAACCAGCAAGGCATATCAAAAGTGTTTAAGGAAGAGAGATGAATTGTCCCAGCAAGCAACACTTCACTTTTTTCCACTTCCTAGTGATTTCTAGAAGTCAGGCCAGCCATTTAGAACCCAGAATTTTGTGACTGGAGACTTTCTAGCAGGGTGGGGCATTTATCCTTCAAGACGAACCATAAAATAAAAGTGTCCTGTTTAGAAACGGAGAACAAGGATCTCTAAGCAGATTTTTACAAGTGAATCTATCTTCCCACAACACTCTCTTATCCCCCACATACTATTTATTCCTTTATTTTACCTATCATCAGTGACAATAAATCTGAAAAACAACGCATGGTCCAAGGAGTGACATGGAAGAACAGCATCAAGAAGTTTATGTTCCTTTGCCAGCAGGTTTAATTCAAGCTTTGAAAAAAGGAGAAGCTGCTACAGACAATCAGAAAGAGCACTTCTGGGGGAAAATTTGATGGATTATTCAGAGCACTTCTGGGGGAAAATTTGATGGATTATTCAGACCACTGTAGAGATAATTAGAAAGCTGGGATAATGCATTTATAAATTAATTCATTTGCTCAGTTGTTTTCAGGGGATTCATAATAAAATTAGGGAACAAAAAGAGTGAACATCAAATCAATGGAAGAATATTATTTAGGTTCAAATCCACAATGACCGTTACACCCCAATGAAAGATTCTGCATCACTTCATTTCTAAGAAGTTAACAATGTAAGAATTAAAATCTTACCTTCACTAAAGCTTATATGCAGAAAACAAGTGCTTTTAAAACGGTTTAATAAATAATCTTAAGCAATTCTGAAATTCTACTCAAAAAAAGGAAAACAAAGAAGTAAAAAACAAAGTGTACAGAATCACGATCTGTACAACCTTTAAAGTTAAACATATGTATTGCAACGGGCAATACATCCACCATCATGACCAACTTCCTTTTCATATCCCAATGTGTATGAATATATCTGTTATAAACCATCAGAACAAGCTTTAGAATAACTAATGCACATGCAAAGAATATGCTTAACTTATAGAAGGACAGTATGTGATGAGATACAAAAATTACTGCTGCTTAACTCCAGCTATCTGCCCATGGCCATCCTGTAATCAGATTGAAAAGCAGAAATGCAGAAGAATGTTTCTGTGTAACATAGCCAACCTTCTATTTAGACTGGTGACTCAGAATAAGAATATTAAAGAAGATTCTAAAAGTAAAGAGTGGTTGTAACATAGATGTGGCACATTCAAAAAAATTACTACATTTGATTGCAATGAACAGAAGACTCGACCCCGCTGGATTGAGCTGAAAAGATATTAATCATCCAGTGAATGGAAAAGTAAAGTTGTGCCAATGTAAAAACTGACTAAAGACTGTAATTATCCTGAGGTCACATTAATTAATAATATGAGCTCAGAGTAACAATACACTAGAAATTTTGTTGGGCAAAATACTTTTTTTTAAATGTACTTCTGTGTTTCTTCTTATCAAGGCACTTGTTAGGCTATGTTCTTCCAAATCATAGTAACAAAAGGGATTTATGATTCATGTCAAATAACAATAGCATACTTGAGCAATCATAGTTTGCAACTGGAAACTGTCCGAATATAGGAATTTTAAAGGGACACTAACTGCTAACACTAATTCAATTTCTGAGTAGTGGCTTCAACCACAGAGTAGATATTGAGCTAGAAAAATGGCAGCAATTTAGGCTGAATTTTCATCTCATGGAAATCCCAATGCCTGACATGCACTGGGATTTTGTCCTTAGAATGTTAACTTTTAACAATTGATTGCAACTTCATCAGCAACACAGATAAAAAACCCTGTTTAATATATGGCTTTTGTTTTGTGACTGAACTTCATACGCCAGAAGAGTGTATAAACTGAACGCCTGAAGAGGATGTCTCTATTTGATGACTGCTATTTATTACGGTGGCTGAAACAGTATCTATGCTAAATAAATCTGAAGGCAGATTTGATTTACCTTTGCACACCAAATCAGCGCCATCCCACTGTCCTTCGGCATTGCAGACTGCAGTCTGATTGCCGCTTGCAATAAAGTAACCATGAACACAATTATAAGTAACTTCACTTCCGTACGTGGTCCCACTTACAGACGCTGGATGTGCATTTAAAACAGTAGGTGGAGCCCCGCAATCCACACCTAGGTAGAGGAAGAAAGAGGAAGAATAAACTTGTTAGTCAAGCAGCAGAAGTAATGACGGTTGCACTCCCAAGAGTATTTCTTTCATCATTATCAACCAACCCTCTTCTCCCGTGGTGATCCAACACTCCTCATACCCTCTGCAACATCCATGCTGTGACTGAGAGTGCTGTAGCTACTCCAGAGCTGCTTCCAAATAGAATTACTTCTCTCTGCCTTTCTCTCAGTATGGCATGCTAAATCTGTGACTCCTTCCTCAGCCTAGCTGCTTGTATACAGAAAATGTCCTGGGTTTTTTTTTAATCTTTAGGATTCTCCTGCTTTTACAAACCTGATTACCGGTGGCAAGCTGGTTCTACACCATTTGCAGTGAGCAACAGTCAGAGGGAGGCAGATGAGCAGAAACTGCCTTTAGAAAGCAAAATTTTCAAAAGTGCACTAGGACCAGAGAAATGCAAAACCATCAAAAAGGTTACAACATACAATACAAAAGTTTCCTTTTAAAGCAAGAGTCTACACAGTGTTCAAAATGCATTGTAATAGTTGCTCTATTCACAAACATGCCGAGTTGTCATTTAAAAATGCATAAAACAAAGAAGTCAAGTAGCACAAAAACCAATTTGTTTGATAAGATGCCCATTTTCTAAGCTAAGCAACCATCTAAAAGGCTTTCATATTAGCACAACACAACACTCGCATTCAACAGTTTAACTACAACTCTTCACGTACATCACATCTTCCCATTAAACTATCTGACTTGTCATGTTAAGACAATTCTTTTATTAATATTCAAGGGAAGCTATACTCTTCAACAACACATTACATCCACATACTTCTATTTAAATAAAAAAAGGGGGATCTGCTCCACTTACAGTACCCTGATGTTAGGTCACACATCTTACCAAGTTTGACCTACCTTCAATGGCCAGTTTCATCGTGACTATATAAAATAAGCTCCTAAATTATCACAGGAAGGAAGACAAAAGACAAACTTACTTACTGATTTTCCTGAAAAAGAAGACACTACACCTGGCCAGGAGAAATTCTTAAGTTAGCAATAAAGGCTTATCAGGGAAACTCTCAGAGTTTAAAGAATTACTTAAAGGTGCCTTTACTAAAGTTAAAAAATAAAACCAGACTTACTGGCTTTACAAAGAGAAGTCCTAAAATCCAGGAAAAGAGCTTGCAATACAAAGGGGAAGTAAGGTTGTCATTTCAGACTCATGGGCTGTTTCTTGGTGTTTGATGCATTTTATTTCAATTAACCATGAGAGATGTGCTCAGAAACTCCAACCTGACCTACTGTTTGATTGTAGAAATTAAAAAAATCACATGAAAAAGCAGAAAAAGAAATCACTGAAAAATACTAATAAAAAACAAATGTACCAACAACTCACAAGGACTGCATTCCACAAGCTTTCTTTAGGGACCTCTTGAGACTTTGGGCACTTCCTTTTTGTTCTCAAATTCACTGTCCTTTACTTATTTTGGGGGGAAAATGTTATTTCAATTGTTTTATTTTTTATGCCAATAATTTAGTATTAAAATATTTTATCTTTTCTTTCTTACGAATTTTCTAGTGATATTTAATATTTCATTTTTCCCAACCACACTGATTTAGCATCCTTATTCTAATTTATTCACTTCCCATAGACACATATACAAACGTTACATTTTTATCCTCTCTCAAAGGGAAAAAAAAACAAACAAAACAACCCCCAGAAAATAATTAGAAACCAAGAGGGCTTTTGTATTTTGAGAGAAGGAACTCTCCTCACTAAGTGGTAATTTTCAGGATGACAATTCTCCCCTGTAGAATTATTATACACAGTGTAGTTTCTGTTAGCTAGCACTTCAAGTGTCATTTAACTAATATACAGACTTTCTAACTACTCACAGGAACACAAAATCCTGCACTTGTAAGCAGTAATATTTCAACAGAATGGGCAATTAGAACACCCAAGCAAGTGGAAGTTTTAAAGATGCTCACAGGAAACTTTACACTTGAGAGACACGAAAGCATTTGCTCAGGCACAAATGCTCTTAAAATCATGAAGATGATTCCAGAGATGAGGGGTGGTATGATGTGTCTCTTTTGCATCTACAGTCGACCTTAGGAAAAAACTTAACAAGCTGTCAGAAAAATTGTTCTTTTCATGAGAGGTCACTGATGCCTTCCAACTCGGTGGCCTTTCCCATGAAATGCTACAGAAATCTACAGAAATCTAGCTGTTTTCTAGGCCTTGGTTCACAGGCAGAAGGACACATTGCAGTGTCTGTAAAAATATAAGGACCAGCATTGAAAATGTCGTAACACTAACAAGAGGAGGTTGGCACAATTTTATAACCTGTCCTTTTCTTTTCTTCTTTTTTTGGGAATACCCAGATCTTGAAAAATTATCCTTCGGACTGAGGAAACAGTCTACTGTCTTTCACAAACACACTTCCCCATGCATAAACCCCCTTAATGAAGAATTTAAGAAAGATTTAAGACCCTTTTCTCCTTTACAGTTTAAAATGGCAGGTTCCCAAGTTTCATTTGCAGTGCAATATGAGAACTTCCCCTTGTTGCTGTAAAACCCTTCTTTACATTCATAATGAACCACACTTCCTGGTAGCAAGCTGTAGTTCCCCATAATGTAGCCATGCTTCATTTCAGGAGGGGAACCACATCCAATTTCTGCAAAGAGATTGGGTTAAAAGATCTCACAGTACAAAAATCACAACACACGACCACTTTAAGATTAGCTGAACTGGATGGTCACATCACAAAATACACCCAACCTGATGAATCTGAGGGATCACCAAATGGGTAGATTAGCGTTGAAGAGTTGTACTGGCCACAGCTGGAGGAACACAGTGATCCAGGCACTGAGCTACATCTTTACTAACATGTAGCTGGAGCCATTCACGACACCAAAGAGGAGATAATGCAATGTGATGGTGCTTTGCATGTGCCAGTCTCGTTACAGCAATGGCTGAATGATCCTTCAACATCAGAGGAAAATTTCAGGCCCCAATGCACAGCTTTATTTCCTAGTGCGTGGGAAAGGTAAAGCACTGTGGACAGGCTGAAATGAAATGGTCTGCCCCTCAATTCCTCCATCTCACTGAACTAGCCTGCATACAAAAGCTACATTCCTTCAGCACAGCCGCTTGACAGGGCTCCCTTGTCCGACTCAGCAAGCGACACAGTCAGTACGGATACACTACTTTACCACAGCATGTGGCGGGGGGGGTCGGTGAGATAAGCAGGGTTATCAGCAATTCTGGCAAAATGAAGCGGAGCACTCCAGTTGGAAACACTGGACGAACTACAGGCAGTGAGCTTTACTGACAGTTTTTGCAGTAACTCAGAAATGAGAGCTGGATATAATCGAGGCAGTTCCTTCCACCTGGGATGCCTGGGTTCATTACATACTCTGACAGCTACACCTTACACTGCTAGCACTTTCAATCTGTGAAAACCTACACTAGAGAGGAAAGGAGGAATGGTTTCAAATAGAATTTTATTTTTTTTAATGGCAAGATAAACAGAACAGTTTATTTATGCAGGTGGCACAGCATGTAATAAATAGCTAAACTATTATTTTATTATTCCTCTCCCCTAGGCTTGTTTCATACATCTGACCTCTCCTACCAGCTATTTTTCCTCTCTTCCCTTCCCCTTCATGCAGTGTGATTATATAAGCAAGTGGATTATACCACACTTCCTTCCTATTCAGAAACCAACTACATCACCTTCATGGCATTATTAAGCTTCTCTTACACTGCACACCTGAACCACTGCTGAGAGCCTGTAGAAATCGTATCCGGCGTCAACTCTACCAACCAGACATCATTGGACAAACAGAACCAAAGAAGAAAAAAATCATACAGCAAGCAAAGTCCACAGAGAGGGCTTCTGCCCTGCAGACTTAAAAGCACAGGTCAGTGCAGGTACTACTATATCATGTAAGATCTGACTTTACCTGCTAGCAAAAACAGCACCCACAGATTCTCACCTTTGCATGAAACTATGTTCCCATCTGGATGAAAAGAACGCTCTCCATTTTCTAATTTATAACCATCACTGCAGTAACACTTGTAGCTTCCTTCAGTATTCACGCATCTTGCATTGCGACCACACAACCCAGACTCCTCACATTCATCTATATCTAAAAATTCAGAGAAAAATATACGCACTTTGTAATAGGTTTTTTTTTTAATTAATTAGTGTAGGATCCCAAGCTTAAAACAAATACAGCATTCCATGAAGGGTTCTATGTAGCTTCTGATGTCTCCTCTGGGAAACAAAGGAGCTTATCATTGCCTGGTGTTCAACCATCCGGAAGGAGGAGAGTCTCAATTTTGTAGATAGCTATCTTTTAAATTGTTTGTTTTACCTGACAAATAGTTTCCAATGTTATCTCCTGCTACAACAATCCCAGAAAAATCCCCTATCTGCAAATATCTTAATCAGTTACAACAGTTCATTACTGTAACAAGGAACTGGCTAATATTCTACACTGAACACAAATATGACATTCTGGGGGAAAGATAAGTATCATCTTGTTTTCTTTAATCTAGCTGCTGCTTCTCGAAAGATTATTGCTTGAATGTGACTGTGAAGCAATGATTTGTAACACAGCACAGAATGCAAAATGGATCTAATTCACAGCTGTTAGAACCTAGATGTCAAGTAAGTGTTTGCATCCACAGCAGAAAATGCTCTGATACAGTTTTAGAAAGTAAGTTCTAAAGTGATGGGAAAAAAAGATTTGTGCAGTAGAAAATTAAGTTCTGGATTCCTGGTGCTCAAGATTCTTTGTGATGTCTACCTGTACAGTTCGTGCCATCATTGGGAATAAATGTCTTGTTGTTGTTGGAGGCTCGGTATCCATCAAGGCAAACACAGTAAAAACTACCGTGTGTATTATGACACAGCGTATGATTTCCACAGATCTTGCTGGCTCCAATCTGGCATTCATCTTTATCTGTCAGCACATTTAAAACACATCAGAGAGAGATTAACAAAAGTAGAATAGTCTTCCCTCCTCACTCATTCTTGTGTAACCAGACTTCCCCTTACTGTTTTTCCTTCTAAGTTATTTGGGATGTAAACACTGCTAGTAAGCTGGAGTACTTAGACCAACAGAGGTTGTTGTCCCTGGATGAAACTGTGAATAAAGTTTCATGACACAGCTGGAGTTGATCTAAGAGCTGTTGAAACCAGAGGGCTCTGCTCTCCCCTTCTTCTCTTCCTTACGGCACGCACTGGCTGCAGCAATTGATGGAGCTTGTGCTGATCTTACCCAGCTCACTCAACTGGCAGCGAATTAACATAGCAAAATATGCAGCTCATCTTCTCCCTCAGTAATCATAGCATCACAGAATAGTTTGGGTTGGAAGGGGCCTTTAAAGGTCACCTAGTCCAACCCCTCTGCTGCGGGCAGGAACATCTTCAACTAGATTGCTCAGAGCCCCGTCCAACCTGACCTGGAATGTTTCCAGGGATGGGGCATCCATCACCTCTCTGGGCAACCTCTGCCAGCATTTCTCCACCCTCAGCATAAAAAATGTCTGCCTTATACCTATTCTAAACCTACCCCCCTTTAGTTTAAAGCCTTTTTCCATTCCCCCTTGTCCCGTCACAACTGGCCCTACTAAAAAGTCTGCCACCATCTTTCTTAGAAGCCCCCTTTAAGTACTGACAGGCTGCAATAAGGTCTCCCCAAAGCCTTCTCTTCTCTAGGCTGAACAACCCCAACTCTCTCATGAGATAACTGAACTCTGTGCAGGGCCCAGCGGGTGCCAGTGCTTGTGAAAGAAGGGGAAGAGATGGGAGTGGAAGAGATCAGAGGTGGAGGACCTTACCCTTTAAGCAGTGGTAAGCTATTACATACACTCAGACACAGCACCTGACATCATCCTTTGAGTCACGTATTGATTTGTCATGTGTGAGATAGTATTAAAAGGACACTATCAGCTACAGTAATAAAACAACGCTGAACAACACTTTTCATGTAACAGACATTTGCACTTAAGAAATCTGTGTGTATATGCACACTGTTACCCAGAACAGACCTTCAACTTATGAAATTAATTTTTAGTTACCCAGTAATTTGAGATAACTGGAAAAATCAGCAAAAAAGTGCAAATTTTAGTTGTCAGTTTTATTGTCTAGTTTTCAGTTCAACAGCACATAGATTAAAAAAAATAATAAAGTGAAGCCCACCATATTTAATTCTTTTTTGCTGAAGCTAAGACAAAAAATATTAAATAAACCATTCCATTTTATTTTAGAAGTAAATATTTGATAAGCCCCTATATCTTCTAAAACAAAATAAATTTAAATCCTTCATTATATAGCAGAAACTGAATAAAATAGTTAAGCAACTAAGTACAAAACAATACTTACATCAAGTACAAGTGAAGTACAGCTCATGGCTAGCCATTAAAAAAAAAAAAAGGAAAAACAATCCACACATATTCTAGGTTTTGGAAATTCTGACAGGAAATTACAAAGCTTTTACCATATTTTGAAGAATTCAGTAATATTACTTGAGAAAGAACATTTTAGGAATGTACAGAGTTTCTTGCCATTTTACAAACAGGCAGCCTACCTTGACAATGAGTTCTTCCGTTGCCTACAAATCCATAGTTACAGATGCAGACACTTTTTCCTTCAATTTGATGACATGTAGCATGAATGTGGCAAGTTGCACAGACATCTGGAACTGATCTGTTCACAACTGCTTCAAGAACAAGAAGATGCATTACTTTTTTTTTTTTTTTAAAAAAAGGACCAAAAGGTGGTCTGGTATGGGTAACTGGCACAGAATTTGAAGTGGAGATAAAATCCAGACTAAAACACATAGAATAAAATCCCATCTCCTCTGACCTCATTTTCAAACTTGCAGGAAAACCACAGACATAGTCTTTGAAGACCAAAAATAAAAAAATAAACAGAAAGGATTAAACAAAAGAAGTACACCGAACAGTTTTCTCCATCAATCTATTCTTTGAGAACAAACAAAACAGCTTTTCAGCAGTTAGCAAGGCTTATGAGACATATAATAAAAAGTTCTATCCAATATTCTTAATCTTTTCTCCATATTCATTTTCTTTTGCTTTTGTCTTGATTTCTGTTTCCTCATTTATTCTATTATTTTGTTTCTATTATTTATGTATAGCCATTTCAGCTATTTATCAATCTATTTGTATCTTCTATCATCAACATGTATATGGTATAAATGTCATTCATAAAAACGATGTTAAGAATGCTGCCAGTAGGAAAACGACTTATAAAGTCAAGTCATTTTAGAAATGAATTTATATTAGAAGTGGTTTAGCAGCGTATGACACACAACCTAATTTACTGTAATTTACAGGGCTATAAATATACATGAAACTAGAAAAAAATATGAACTTAGTCCCTTATTTGTATTCATACTTATAGTGCATTATGTGCATTTCTCTCCATTTTTTGTAAGCTCTTTTTGTTAGCTTTGCATATGCACTAGCTTTCCAAACGATAAACCTCAGAATGGACAGCTTGAATGTAGACAAAGCATGTATATGCTTACACCCTTTTTACATTTTTAAAGAAATAACTAATGCTGCACAAGCTGATGTTGTCTCATGATGCTGGACATCACAGTATGGAATTTTTTACTCTTCTAAGACGGCTAAGATTGATAAGGATGGTGTGGTCCTTACAGAATACAAATCTTACTGCGTGTATAGCAGCTCTGAGAAAATTTTGCATGCCTTTACATGTGTCTAAATACATAACCGTAATGGGACGGAGAAGGCAGCTGAACACTCTAGCCAGCTTTTTTTACGCACCAAATTTATCAGTGTGATAAAACTGCCCTTCCACACACACAGTGTTTCAGCTTTACTCACACTGCACTTCTGAGCGCCTTAACACTCGCGGGAAGCATCACTGATTCCCATTCCTAATTCTCAATGCTTTTATATACTTTTTTTGTGTGCGTTCCTAGTAAGAACAGGGAACAAAAACCGTCAGCACGCAATGGCAGCCAATGCACATCAGAAAATTAAATTTAAAAACAGCCACGGTAAGAACTTTCTCATGATACCTCAATCTTCTGATAAGACATGGGAGTGTCCTCCTCAGATTGCTGCTCTGGGAGATAAAAAACGGTTTTTTTCCCCAACTTACTACTACAGACGAAACTTTACGAGTTATTTCTCCCTAGTAACATACCATTTTTCACTCCAGCACTAAAGTCACCTCATGGTTTCAGTCCTACCCAGGCGCTCCCTCAGACACGGCTCCCGCCCCGGCCAGGCCCTCTCGCCCAGCCGGCGCGCGGGCCCGCCTCCGCCACAGCCCCCAAGCGGACGGCGAGGCG